GGAGAGTCCTTTAGTTTGTACTCCCACTCGAATCTCGCCTACGTAATCGCACCGGTTATTTACAGAGAATAAGAAGAGAAGAGAATACTATAGATTTTCATTAGTAAGGCAACAAAGAGTGTGAGTCATTACAGGAAAATACAGAGCTTTAATTTTTTTTTAGAAATCTAGTTTTTAGCTCTTGATTGGCTACTGGAAAAGCACCTGTGCATCCTACAGGACTCTGGCCCTCAGGCCAGGACAGGACCTGCATCTCTGTGATGCAGGTGTTTGTGCACGAACAGGCTTGATAACCAGAGGCCTTAAGATTTGATTTAGAGGTTGTGTGTCATCTTGGAGCCTGTGAGAGGTTCAGGCAAAGCATTATCCTTTTGCATTATCCTAGCAGTCTTTTTTAAAATAAAAAATAATTAGAATTTAATTACGAATTATTAAATATTTCAGAGCCTCCCAATTTAGAAATGCAGTGGCTTTCAGGCTCGGTTTGTCTGGCTCCTTTAAATATTTTAACTGCGTGGTAGAGACATATGTACACCTGTGACATTCCCCCTGCAGAGCGATTCACCTTACAGTAGAGCTAGTACTGGAATGAAAATACCACAGTAATCTTCTATTCACATCTTGCCAAGTATATGTTCCACAGCATTTAAAATAATACTAGCTCTACATTCTGTACTCTAATACTTTAAATTGCTTTATTTCATTGGAATTGCAAACATTAAAAAATGAACCTTGCACTGAACTAATATGGATCTGACCCCGGTAATATGAATCGTTTATTTCATACGCTTACACAGTTCTGGTGACTTTAGAGGTGTCAGTTGTGCCTCCTGAAATTCACCACTGGGAGTTAGGGAATGTTACATTTATATTACATTTGAAATATATTTGTCCATCTGAATAGAAAAATAATTTTAAAGTAATATCTTTGTAATTTCAGATGGACAAATGGACAAATAATAACTTTCTTTTAACAACTCTTAAAAGCTCTTGAGATCTTGGTGCACATTTAACTTGAGCCTGGAGTAAAACATAGCATTTTTGCCAGCTTGCAGCATGAAACAATTAACTCCAGTGGTTTTCCGTTGTTGTCGTTGGTATTTCCCCTTGGTACCACTGACAGCCTGCACCCGAACTAAGCTGCACATAGACACGTACTGTGGAGATCTCAAGTATTCTTCAATGAGCGTTGAACACTGATGTACCAACTGTCTGCCTTTTTTGGCTTCTGCCTTTCCGTTTCGAAGGAAGGTTTTGGAAAATGGATAAATACCACTCCACTGCCAAAAACAGCATAATTACAACTACAAAATCAAGCGCAGGAGTGTAGAATGCAGAATGAACATTCAGTATTAACATTATTCAAGAAAGAGATGCGGAGGAAACAGACTGTGATGGATTCACAGCTGGGAATGAACATCAGGACAGTGCTGGAGAGACATTCCATGTGCTTCACGTTGAGACACATAGGCATTTGGATCTTTCTAAATCATCCAGAATCCACAAAAACCCGTAAATACACTGAATTGTATATCCAGCTGCATCACGTAGGCTACAACTTTCTAGTTAACATTTCTAGTTTTTCTTGTATCCAAATTGAGTTGTCTGGAATATGTCCGTGTCAGAAGAGGAAAAGATAAATTTAGAAAGCAGGAATGAAGCAACACTAGTTTATTAAAGCCTTCCACAGACTGTATGCAGTTTAATTCAGGTCCAGAGAGTGGGACCACTGTTCTTAGACCACACACAGAAAGCAATCAGACAAACCAGTACAATGTGAATGTTTCCACCCTGGTTAGAGATATGACTTGTTTAAACGTTTCTCTTGGTGAACTGATGTTATTTACCATGTGCATTTATAAGATGTCCCACAGAGGAAGTCTGGGGGACTTCCAGAGTTTTTTTTTTACTCAGCTCCTGTTTTTTTATTTGGAATCAACTTCAGCTACTTTTCCAAAACAATATATAAATGAGGGCAGCACAGTGGTGCCAGGTGTACCTAGTGCTGAAGCCCTGGGTTCCATTATGGACCTAAGGTGTTATCTGTGTATAGTTTGTATGTTCTCCCTGTGTTCGCATGGGTTTCCTCCGGGTGCTCTGGTTTCCTTCCTCAGTCCAAAGACATACTGGTATTGGTACTGGTGGGAGTGTGTCTGCCCAACAATTGACTGGTGTCCCATCCAGGGTGTACCCCACCTTGCACCCATTGCTTGTCAGCTCAACTGCAACCCTGAATTAGAAGAAGTGATTAGAAGATGGAGATATTTAATACAATAATATATTTAAACGAAGATGAAAGGCCCCACTTTTCCTACTTGCATTGTGTCGTGTACCATTTTCACATTTATTTTTGCTTCCCAACCTTCTTTTTGATGCCTAAAAGCCCCTTTTTCAAAAGCTTCTAAAGTAAAGCAGACTCCCTTCTTACGATAACAGGCTTTATTTTTGGAAGCTGCTTCAAAGGTTTATTTTAAACAGCATGTTCTGCTGGATCTGGTTGTGTGACAGTTTCCTGCTTTGGCCCCTACCTCCTCTGATGGTTCTGGTGGTCTGTATTTCCAGATATAGATGAATGCAGATATGGTTACTGCCAACAGCTGTGTGCCAATGTACCAGGATCGTACTCCTGCTCCTGCAACCCAGGCTTCATCCTCAATCCTGACAGCAGGACATGCCAAGGTAACCTGGTGGCCTCATGCCTTCTACTTCTGTGCTTTCCAAAAATAAACAACATCGGACTTCCCATTTTCTGTGCATCATCCTATTTGCTTGTGAACTTGAGCTTGCTGAATAGAAAAGGTAAAAGTGATGTCACAAGCTTTTTGTAAAATGGTTGTGCATAATATTCTAATTGAGATCTTCACAGTGCCTTGACTAATGTTTAGATTTGTTTAAAATAAGATAACTTTATTGGCCATAAACAATTTCTTGCATTAGGAATTTGTCTTTTCACATACTGCAGCTTGCTCTCCATGAGAGACACAGACAGGGAGAGAGAAGCTTGGGGTCAGAGCACAGGGTCAGCCATTTATACAGCACCCCTGGAGCAGCTGGGGTTAAGGCCTTGCTCAGGGGCCCAACAGAGTAGGGTTCCTCTGCTGGATGCAGGATTTGAACCAGCAACCTTCCAGCCACAGGCACAGATCCACAGAGCCACCACTGTTTTAGGTCTGCTGTGCATCCTAATATCTTGTTCACCTTTTTCCATTGCTTTTTAGATGAGGAAAGAGATATGTCAACATGAACACCTACTGTAAGACTATTTATCAGGAAGCTTCTTTAAACTCATTCTCTCCTATCTGATAATTATTGTTCACTATTTTCCTCCTGTGTGTCGCAATCAGATTTTCTCTATTCTGAGTGTCATTCTGTTTGAAGTATATTTGCTGCTCCTACATTGTTTGCTGTTGAGAAAGATTGCTCGAGAATCCTGGTTACCCTAAGCTTATGACAGAGTCCAGGCTACAGGCTATAATTTTAAGATTATAGAGCTCAATAGCCACCTCTGGGATGAACTGGAACATCTGGAAAAGACTACACAGACCAGCTTCTCTCACTGCCCCACCAGTCCTAATGAGAGAGGGATGTCATAGCACTCCTCTGGCCAGCTGACTCGTTCATGTTTCAGCACCATCAGTTTCAAAGTCGCAGTGCACCGAAACATTAGACAGATTTGCAGTAAATAACCGTTTCTAACCCTCAGACTTGGAGGTTTACCTACAGTGCTTGCCAGTAGTGGCTTTGCCCATTTAAAAGAATCTCTTTGGAGAGGAAAACGGTTTTCTCAATTAATAGTTCTCATGTTTGGGTTTGGCTGAGACAGTGAACTGGGAGAATCATTCCTCACAGCAAGGCACATATAATTGCCATTCCTATGCTTACAGCTGGTGTGGCGTGTGACTTACTGACCCAAAAATGGTTGCAGCATTCCAGGCTGCTCTGGAAAGCTCCAGTTACTGGTCCAAGTTACAGTTAGTCTTTTCTGTGGTGTCCCAATTGAGAACATTGATCCTCCATGAGGTGTGACACTTAAGTCTGTGGGCTTAATTATGTATGCATATCGACTGCACATTAGGGCCCCTCTGTGTACCATCCCTTAGCACAGCCCTGGGCTAGCCAGGAGGCAGATGTGGAGGAGTCAAACTGGAACTGTTTCATACCTTAAACCGTAGCCAGAAAAGAAATCCAATGCAAAATCAGTGCTGGAACTTTGTGACGTTGTAGAATCGGAAGCGCTTGCTATTCATACGAGCAGAAAGGGCCTTTTGTCCACTGACCAGGCTTGTTTCACAGACATAGACGAGTGTGACAGAGAGCATCCCTGTGGGCACAACTGCTTCAACACGTACGGCTCCTTCCTGTGCAGCTGTGACCCAGGCTTCGAGCTGGCGGCCGACGGCACCACGTGCAACGGTCAGTTCTTTGGCTCCTTTGAATGCTTGACTGGGAAGGGAAACCCAGAGGAATCCGAACTCATTGCCGTCACTTCCTTACGACTGCTTTGTGTTTGTTCTCGGACAAGACGATGTGTGTAGCTCAATGATGGAGAGATAAAGTACTAAGATGCACAAAATGGAAAGTGTGAGGTTAGGTGTATTTCCCTAAATGTCTTAAAAACTTCAAAATGTCTTCCTTATTTTGAAAAGCACAGGAATAAACATCTGTCTTCTAAGGAATGATGTTTGTGAAAATATACTGAGCCTCAAAGGAAAGTTATCTTTCTTTATAGGTATATATGTTTTTAGAGAAGCAAAGTACAGTATACAGATGCTGGTTGTGGATTTAGTGTTTTTAGCTTCATTTTGATTATCTTGTTATTTGTGACTGACTGTCATGAAATCGTGTGATAACTAATGCAGAAATGCTAAATTATGTTATTAGTAAAAAAGCTGTAAAGCTGTAAAAGCTGTATTAGGAAAAGGCACAGATGATGACTCATCAGTCAGACCTTGTCAAAATCAAGAAAGAAAAGAACCAAGAGAACAATGCCTTTGGTATTCTGGAGGTTGGCACTCCAGATGAACCATTCAGGACTGGAGCCATGTCCTCTGTAGTGATGAATCAGGTATTTGTGTCAACCACACAGAGGAATGTCAGCAAGTGTGGAGCAGACATGGAGAATGATATGCTAATTGTTGAGTACAACAGGCCAATCAGCAAGGATTTCCAAGAGTGATGTTCTGTGCAGGAGTGCCTAGTAGTGGTTGATGGCAACCTGACAGCATTATGCAGCCTGTTTACCCTTTGAAAAAGCTGTCCTTTCATTTGCTGCCTTCAGATCTGAATGAGTGTGGTTTCTCGGAGTTTCTGTGTCAGCATTCCTGTAAGAACACACCTGGATCCTTCTACTGCGAGTGTCCACCAGGGTATTTAATATATGAGGACAACCGGAGCTGTGAAGGTAGGGGCACAGTGGCCTAGCCGCTCTACAGACACAAAGCTTAAGATCTGAGAGAGGCAGATAGTCTGTGTGTGCTCGGAGCTTGTGAGCTACAGGAGCAGCAAGAGCCACACGTGTTGCACCAGTCCAGCAGGGTTTCTAGAGAGCCTGTCGACAGTCAATCCCAGAAGACAGGAAACAATTTAGTTATGAAGAGTGATGAATGTTATTGATTATTCACAGATCATGTGAAGCAAATCCTAAAATTATTTGAGGATCAGAGTTGCCTAATTTAAATTCAGATGAACCTTTTGTTACCTTGCAAGTGTTTCTGTGTGATTTTGGGGTGACGTAAAGGGTCACTTATAGGAACCAGAAGTGCACAGCACTGTTCCAGAGTTGAAATTAATGGCTCTTTCAATACCCTTCTGCTTGGTGTACCCTTTCTCAGGCCAATTAGTACGAAACGTCAGGATTTTCTGAACGTGCAAAGCCATTGGTAGGGGATACAGAAAACAAATACAGAAACTGTGTTTTATCTTGTTTATTTCTTCAGGGGACTCTGATTTTTATTACATATTTCTGAGCTAAGAGATTAGAATGTGGACCTATCTCAGCATGGGATGCAAATAGGTTAATTTCTCAATTAGCTTTTTTTCTTTCTGTCTCATTTGCTGCATGGAATTAACCACTACTTGTACACTCCTGTGCTTATAATGAGATAATATGTATGACTTATCCAGATGCTCAGTTTATCAACAATGCTTATACAATATTCTGCTGTTAATAAGTTTGAGTACTGAAGGCTAGGGATTGTCAGCCAGCTTCTTCCTTAAGAGAATATTGATGCATGAGAACCACACGTCTGAGAGCAGTGGCAGCTCTGACATTCATATAAGACCAAAACAAATGGTTATGAGATTCACATTCACATTGAGATGTTTGCAATCATTATTTTTATTATTATTTCATCTTTGCTTAATCTGCTCCTTCTCCCTAGCTGGTTTACATTCAAAACACACTTAAGGAGTAGTTCATTTATAAACGATGACATTCTCATTTGTTAAAGACCTTTTTTTTCCACAATCTGCATGTATCATTTCTTAGGTGTATTGCCAGCTTTTTGTCCTGAAGAGCCCCAATCTATCAGGATTCAGAAGTCACTATTCAATCCTGAATTTCTACAATTTATTATAAATAAGTAAGCAGGTGTTTTGTTAAAGTAATTTAGGGATCATTTGGATAGAAAATTGGAGTACCCTTAGGCCCTTAAATACTGGATTTCCATAATTCAATATATGTAGGATATATAATTTAATAGGAACAAGTAATAGGTTTATTCCATGCTGAAAAGAGAAGAAAGAAAACACAACGTTTCAGCCGTGGAGCCTTCTTCAGGTGTGTCACCTGAACCTGAAGAAAGCTCCATGGACGGTGTTTTCTTTCTTCCCTTTTCAGCATGGAATAAACCTATTACTTGTTCCTATTATATGATATATCCTACATATATTGAATTATGGAAATCCAGTATTTAAGGGCCTAAGGGTACTCCAATTTTATTACTTGTTCCTTTGCAGCCTATGTATGCTGACGCAGCTACCCACCTGAACTATATCACATCATATAATATATGTACAGTATATGATATAGTTCATGCTCATTTGCTCTGTTCAACATGCAGGTGTTCTAATTTGGATTAGATTGGGGCTCAGGATTGAAGACTCCTGCACCATAGAAATGTCCAGTAGACATTTAAATCTGACAAAAAGGATAAAACAGTATTTTCATTTTCAGGGTATTCAGTCGTTTGGAAGCTGCATCTGTTTGTTTGTTTGTTTGTTTGTTTGTTTGTTTAATAATGAATGTTAAACTGACCATACTTGTTGTGTGTTTGATTTTTAAGATATCAATGAATGTGACACTGGTAACAACACCTGTACAACAGCACAAGTATGTTTCAATTTCCAGGGAGGATATAAGTGCCTGGACCCAATTAAATGCGAGGAGCCTTACATTGAGCTTGGTGAAAAGTAAGTGCTCTCACCTGCAATGGTTTCCTATTCTAAATCAGTGTTATTGAGTTTCGTTCACAAATGTTACATTGTTTTTGATTGTAGATGTTTTTACTTCTTTTGAATAAAATTGCCAGTTAATGGCCTTCAAGCCAACCCAAGTCCTTCAAGTGTTTGACACACTGAACTCTGCATCCCTCACTTACATCTGGGAGGCGCTGTTTCACTTGTGGACAAGCCCCAGTACTACCCTTTGGAACATCCTGGTCGCAGTCAGCTAGTGACATGACCCAGCCTCAAAACCCTGAGGTCTGCATCTCCGAGCTCAGCCTGTGCTTGGAACTCGTAAAGCATTTCCACTTTTTAAGTCTGTTCTTAAAAATACTTTTTAAGTATGACATGTAGTCCATGACAGTTCAGTGCAAGGTGTCACGATCGCTACTCCTCTTCTTAAGGGCGCTCCAGCCCTTCCTTGTTCTGCCCCATTACCTGCACCTGTTTCTTATTTCCGTTCCACCTTAAAAGCCAGACGCAGACATCACTCCTGGTTCCTCATTGAATTCCACTTCGTGAGAGCCCTGGGTCCTGCTGTGTGTGGCTCCGTTATGGTTTTAACCTTCTGTTCCTGATTTCCCGCCCTGCCGGTCCCGACCCGGTTCATGGTTTTAATCCCCTGGATGGATCTCCTGGCCTTGGACTTTGCTTCTGTCTTGGATTACCCGTTTGGATTTTATCTTGGATCATTTGCCCCGGACTAACTTCCCCTGGACACCTGCACCCCTTGGACACGCCCCCCTGTCTCCATACGCTCTCCTGCATGACTTTTTCCCCAGTGTTACCTCACAGTTCCAGATTGTGTCGTCTGCATAGGGCCTGGAAAGACCTGTTCTTGACACAAGGGGAAATTGATGAGACGTTCTCCTCAAACATAGTTTAAAAGCAATGGTTGTTACTTGACTTCAATATTGATTTCCCTTGATTAATCTAAGGAAGCTTTGAATGAATATGCCTAATTATTCTCTTTTCATGAAGGTTAGTTCCAGGTTTTCCGATTTCTGCAATATACCTAATAACGTTTTTAAAGGGCATATCTGAAATGTTGGAAGACAAACAGGAGGTAAACTAAGGCTTCGTGTGCGGCTACCTGTGTGCTGGACTCCCCGCAATCAGTGCCCTGTTTCTTTGTGTTGCAGCCAATGCATGTGCTCAGCGGACAACCCTGCCTGCAGGGACAAGCCCTTCACCATCCTGTACAAGCACATGGACATCACAGCTGGGCGCAGCGTGCCGGCTGACATCTTCCAGATGCAGGCGACCTCACGCTACCCTGGGGCCTTCTACATATTCCAGATCAAGTCCGGCAACGACGGGAGGGAGTTCTATATGAGGGTAGGTAGCGAGAGTACCAGACACACTCTGACCTGTTGGCAGTGTTCGGTTGTTTGTGCCATAATAACAGCGTCACTCCAGCCCCTGCTGGGAAGAAGCACAGTGGTGGCATAGCGGTAAAAAAGTCGCAGCCGAGTGCCTGATCCTGATGACTTTCAGCCCTTTTTTTTTCAAAAACTATTACAGAATTATGGAGAAGCTTGTGATTGACACATCTTAAACACACTGAAGCTTGAACCTAAATCCAAAATATTCTGGTATTTTGGCATATGACCACAATATGGTTTTGTTTTGATTTGATTTTGGAAAGGATTGCCATTGTAGGTGATTGTGAATGGAAATAACAGGGGCGCTTTGCTGTTTTGGGAGATGTTTGTTCATTTCTGGTCTTTTCCTTCTGTCTGAAGAGGTTCATTTATGGATTCAAAGGGCATTTTCAGCATCTCCGAAAAATCTCTTTAAAATAAAGCTCTACAGCTTCTTACAGTTTATGTTGGGGCCCTTAATTATAACTTTGTAAGTTCAATAATTTTCATCAGTCAAGCCTTCCTACACGGACTGTGTTAGGATGAAACTGAACCTCACAGCGAGCTCTGCTATGATGTTTTCTAGTTTACACCAGCAGATGGCGCAATGAACATTTCAGCTGTAATTTTTAAAGAAACTACAGTTATTGAACAGATACTGTAGAATTTGAAATTTCCACTTGTTAAATAAAGTGTGGGGAAATCAAAAGAACACAAGAAACTTCAGGCACCATTATTTCCTTCTGCAAGGTCAGGATTAGAGCCATGAAAGTTCTTTTGTATTATCTCTCTGATAATTAGGTTTGGTATAATCGTTAAGTGCCTTATTATTATTATTAAAAATAATTATTTTGTCGATATACAGCTTCTAGCCATATCACCCTGCAGCTCTCAACTGGCAGCCCACTGAAGCTCAGCAGGGTTGAGCCTGGTCAGTACCTGGATGCGAGACCTCCTGGGAAACCATGGTTGCTGCTGGAAGTGGTGTTAGTGAAACCAATAGGGGGCGCCCATCTATTGACCTACTGCCCTGGTACAGTGGTGGGGACACTATACTGTAGTGGGCGCCGTCTTTCGGTTGAGAAATTAAACCGAGGTCCTGACTCTCAGTGTTCGTTAAAGATCCCCAGGCATTTCTCGGTAAGAGTAGGGAGTTATCCCGGTTCCCGGGCCAAATTTCCCCCCTCGGCCTTTACCGTGGCCTCCGAATCGTCCCCATGTATGTTTGGCTTGCACTTGCCCTGCGATGGACTGGCGGCCCGTCCAGGGTGTACCTGCCTTGTGCTCGTTGCTTGCCTGGTAGGCTCCGGCTTCCCGCAACACCGTATAGTATAAAGCGGTTTGGCAAATGACATGACATATATAGCTTCTCACACAGACTGTTGATACTGCTTCATCAATATAGTATTAATAATAAAAGCACAGGGGTAGATTCAGTTACTGTAACCGAGCATAACCAATATAATAACAAGTTAAATGCCCTGTTTTCTCCAATAACTATTCTTATATTCTTAAATATTTGGGAAAAAAAACGGTTAAAATGTCACCAAAGGTATCAGTTGAAATATTTAATAATTAATCCATGTTTAATAATTAATCCATACTCCCCAACTGGGAGTTCAAACATTTAAATATTGGCAATCAAATTGTGGTTAATAGAGCCGCCTTTTATGGCAGAACAATGAGTAAATAGACCAGGCCTGAAGTAAGCATAAAGAACAGAACTTGAAACCACTTGGTGTGACAGATTGGGGTTAGAATTCATACCTTGTACCTTTCACATCGGGGATGGTCAAAAAGGAAGTAAATTCATCTTGAATTAGATGAATGCTAGCTTGAACTTAGGCTATTACTAACAAGTCATCCTCCATCCAGATAGTAACACTATCCAAATAGTTAGCCTATTAAGCTTGCAATTGAATAACCAGGAATAAAAATGAGACATTTTAACAACACAGCAACTGCAAGAATCATTCCACTGATGCAATATAAAAGTGAGGATATCTACAGTATACTCAGTTTGCAGTTCAGCTCCACGAGACCTTTGAAAAACTGAATTGCTAGCATCCATCAAATGTGCAGAGCAGAACTATTCCCTGTCGTCCTGAATCGGGGTCTTGGCATCTGAGTGGGCTTCGTAAGAAATGTCTATAGGCAGTATCTTTGAAGACTCTTCTAGTACCATTACTCGTCTTATAAAAATGATAACTTTCTGATCTGAGCTTCTAGTTTACATTTTTGGCAGTTGCAAAGTCATAATCAAGGTGGAAGAGACCTTTAACTTCAAGATAGAGTTCAAAAGGATTTGGTGATCATGAAGTCGGGCGACATTTTCCTCCTCCATGGTGTCTTTCATCCTAGAACCTTTCCACAGTTGACTCTTTGATAGTTGCAGGCTACAGTAGATTGTGATGACTGCTGATCCAGCATGTGGTACGTGAAAGTAAAGTTTGTCCAGTGTAGTCGGCAAATAAAAAGGTCACGTGGACCATTTTTTATCCCTTTTTATGAGCTGGCACACTCACGGTGGTGCTCTCCTGTTGTCTGTTCGAATGCAGCAAACCAGCAACGTCAGTGCCACGCTGGTCCTGGCTCGACCCATCAAGGGGCCCAAGGAGCTGGTGCTGGACTTGGAGATGGTCACCGTCAACAACGTCATCAACTTCCGAGGCAGCTCCATCATCCGCCTGACGATATTCGTCTCCGAGTATTCTTACTGAGCCCCCCACCCCAACGGCCCCCCAGGCAGCTCGTCTTGGCTGTATGACTCTCCGCACCGACGATGTCGCCCCACACAGCAATGCTTTACTGTGACCAGGTAGCAGACGTCCTGCGAGGGTACCAGCACACCTGGTCTTCCCTGTATCCCGAAATCCCACTTGCCTCTTCAGGGACACTGTGTGAATGTGCTGCCTGATATGATCCATCAAAAAGTGAAATATTTATGAAGCTCCCATTAAACTACCATTCATGTGTGAATTTTTTGTCTGTTCTTAGGCATTAGGGGAAGGTTTTTTCCATTTTGAATCCGTTTTAGACATCGTGAAAACTCGTGCCACTGGGTTGTCAGGATTTTTCATGGTTTATTTTTCCCTCTCCCTGCTTTTGATCAACCTGTGTCAAACCCTGTGGACTTCCAGGAAGTTCATTACAGAAATCCCTCGGTTTAATGGTTGTTGCTTGACAAACTTTGGATTTTACGGACAAAATCTGCTAAAATGGAATTTTGTCTGTAAGATCAGAAAAATCCCAATAACAGGGAAAGGCACAAAGGTAAAATAAATACTACATAGGTTTAAAATGCAGGAACATCACTGGTGCCCTATAGGGGTAGGTAGCTTGTGTTTCATGTGCTTTACTGAATTCTATACAATATATTTTACAATAGATGAAATAAGAGCTTGTATATTTATGTGAAAAAAAGGCAGGAACAATTTTCTAACTGATTATGATTTTAACTATCATATATAATTATTACAAAATGACCCAAAAGAGGTAGAAGGTATATATATATTTACTGTATCTCATTTAATAATGAGTGTTTGGCCCAAAAAATGTCACTCTTGATTAAAAGATAGTTGACATTAACGGAACCCTTTGCCTCTATTAGTCATTTAAACCCAGGGTTTACTGTACTGAATTGCCTCGTTTTATGCGTAACATGGGAGCCTCCATATGTTGGAACTGGGCATCTACTTTCTGAAACTCTTTTGAATTTCACCATTTACTGAGTCTTTGATATAATCTAGCGCTCCGCTGTTTAATTTCTCCAGATCAGTGAAGAAGGTAACGCATCTTCTGAAGTAAAGAGAAACCCTACATTTGCAAATGTACCTCTCACACAGTGTCTGACCTCGGCGTGTGTGATCACAGCTGGCAATATCAGTCTTTTAAAATGCGATCCTAAATTGAACTGGTGGTACAGTGAGCACAAGCGGCTGAGGGAGAGAGAAGCTACTGAAAGGAAAAGGACTGGCAGAGAAAAATCGGTCTACAGAGCAGGACTGTGACTCAGCCGAGTGCATCAGTAATGTTACTGAGTATTTGTCCAACGCTCACCAGGCAATGCCATATTAATCCCACTGTAATAAGAAATATAATATACACATTGAATAAAGATGCTTTTGTGCAGGGGTAGTGTAAATAGTACCTTTGAATTTACAGCACAGGCAATTTTACTGAAAAAACTATTAGCGCATTTTTGACTTGAAGGTGTCAGAGAAGAGTGTGAGGGGATGTGTTTATATGCTTCACATTGGGTCAGATTTTTTATGTGACTTAGTCTACAGTCCTTTTGACAGCTTCTAACCCAAATAACCGGTTGGTGTGTGATTGGGTGGAATATACAATCGAAGAAAATGTTAATCACAACATTTATGAAGGATTGGTGTTACTTTCTGATCCTGACGAGGATAAAGGCATCTCCTATTAACAAATCAAGATCTATTTTCTTTTAAATTAAAGTTTTCACTTGTTATTCTTTTCAATGTCGTGTTTTTTTTTGTAAAGAGCACCATCAAATACTTATATCTGGGAAAATAAAAAAGTATACTTGATTGTTTAAACAATGTTTTTTCTTTGTCATTTCTATTAGTCACCATATGGCATTCTCATGTACACTGTGCCCAGTTTACAAAGCTTTAAAGTTTTAAGGTTTCACTGCATGTTTATAAAACGTGTTTGACGCGTTTTCACTAGTTTGCTATGTGAATCTTGAAAATTCAAATTTATACAAAAGACAAAACCAAACGTGACACTCCGTTGTTTTTTTGCTAGCTTATTTTAAAACGAAAAGCATTTAAAATAGTTTCCATGAGAAGTCTAAATATCCTATGCTGAGCTTGCTCTTAGGCGCTTAAGGGAAAATCAGTGCTTTATAGTGTACCTACTTTATAAACTGTTCAAGGCAGTGCTTTTTCTGACAAGATCTCTCCTGTATAAACAGACCAGTAGGAACAGATCCGGATTAACTACCTTGATTATAATCGAGCAGTTTCCCGAAACCTGTACACGGCAGGCACTATGACCGACTATTAAACAAACAGGATTTCACCCAGATGAAGAGTTGGAATCCCTCATACGGTACCTGCATATTCGGTATTAGCAGGGAGGGATCTCTGCTATCTAGAGCTGTGGGACAGCGGTGGATATGTAGTGACTACACTGACTGACCAGGAAAACTTCACCACGCGTTCATTCTGCAAACCACACTCCTTTTGCGCCGCACTTTGGAGAGGAACAGCGTGGAGACGCTCAAGAGCTTTTCTTTCCCTAAAGAACAGGATATCATATCTCACAGTAAGTGTCACGATTTATGAAGAAAGTTTGTGTTTTCGCATATAATTGTAGGTTGTATATATATGTGTGTTGTGGGGGTAGAAATAAATGATTAATGTCGATGTATTTTTATTACCGGTATTTGAAATGAATTGCTGCTGCTCTTTTCATCTTCTCATATTTTGTATTTCTACTTTACAACATTGAAATACATGTAGAAGTAGTTGTTGTTCATTCAAAGACGGCTTAAATGGCATTTCTTCGGACCCCGATGAGCTTCCGAAAGAAATGTCTTTTCAAGTAAAGGTTTGGTGCCGTGGTCTGTTATGGTATTTCATGTAATACCAACCTGTTGACTCAAGGTTATAACAAAACGTTCTTAGTACTTTTCACCGCTATAGCTAATCTAATTTATTAAGATTAGTTCTACACTATATATATTATAGGACAGATCTCATAGTTGTACATGTAATAACTTCGTTTTCTAAGTGAGATACGAACCGTGTGGCTCGATCTCTGCCTTAGCAGAGAAAAAGGTTTACAGGTTTGTGATGCTGCTACTGTATCTCTGTGTGATGTAGCGCTCTTGTACCACGTTAGTGTTTTTTTCTAACCTGGTGAGAATAATTTGTATCTGTTTTTAACTAATTTGTTTAAGTGAAGATGATCGTCCACATTCAGCTGTATAGCTCCTCTTCAGCCCGACAAGTCATGTTTGTCTAATATATTAACATCTTTAACAATGAACGGAAAATAATATTTAAGAATTCATATATAAATAATATATAAGATTCATATATAAATGGGTTATTGTCGTATTCAATTCACTATCAACTCAAATTTTGTACCCCCCCAGGTATTACAAAGAAAACTAACATTCTAGCTTTACGGCTTGTGATAGGTAAAATAGTTATTTTCTGAAATAGAGTATTCATGACATCGCACAAAAGACATTTATAAAATGTTGGGAGGGGGCTGTGTTGAAATGTATGTGTAAATTATGGGTTTTTCGTTTATGAATGACGGTCTTCAATTCACTATTCACTATTTCAATGTTTGTGGCAATGCTAAGAGACATTTCCACCCGATTTAAGACTGTGAACACGTTTGTGACCGTATCACAGTGGAGGATAAAGCCTGCTTCTGTGTTCGTGCTGTGTGATGTGCTGTAACAACAATTACGGGAGTATAGACGCAGCAGTGACCATATTTTACAGTTGGGGTGAACTGCTTTATATGAGCGAATTATTTCGAAAATACGACATTCATAAACAATACGTTCTTGTTCAATTATTAGCGACACGATGTGTTAAAATTAATTCAGCCACAGACTGCCTAGTTAATATTTTTGGATGAAGTTACATATTTTATTACATATATCAAAGAGAGACACATTGTTATTGTAATTATTCAAAAAGAGGTACTTTTTATGCTCTTTTTTTTAAATGTCAGACTTGTGGTATTATATTATTCTCGATTCGTCAAAGCTAACATTTAAGTAAGGGAAATCTGGAGTTTTCAAGTTTTCTTGTGGACGCATTGGTATTCTCTAGGTGCTCCAGTTCCCACAATCCACATAAATTCTGTCTAGGTAACCTCGTGTCTCTAAAATAATGGGGAAAACTGACGGCCAGGGCCGTCCACTCATGATTCACATCCTCAGCCATAAAAATCGGAACAGGGAAATAAAAGAAAAGGCTAAATTCTGAAGGGAAAAAATATTTAACCAATCAACACTAGAGTATTTATGAATTATGTTTTCCTAATTGTGTGCAGTGGGAGAACTATTGCATTTGATTAAATGTATTATTTGCTTTAAAAATAAAACATCTCCCTTATTCATGCAGCACAAGGAATTTGTGATGTGCACTCCTGTACTGCTAGAGGTGTGCAGGACAGGTGCTCTTGTCTGGGCCATGAGTGACTCAGCTCAGGTGAAGTGGGTGTTTCTTGCCAGTGTGTCTGTATGTGAACGTGAGTGCAGGCGATTGTGACAGATGGGAGTAAGTTGGGAGCTTTGGTTGAAGTCTGATTCACTTCACACTCTGGAGTGCAGGAGCTGCTCAGGCAGGATCTGAAAATAAACATTGGAAGATAAGCTGGGAAATTCCTCCCAGCCGCTGGATTAAAAGGTCGATGATTTTTTTTTGCTAAAAGCAGGAGTGCAGCGCGGTATGCTTTTCAATTTCATCTCTTCTTGCAGGTTTCCAAAGTCACTCAGAGCTGAAGAGTGTTGCTCAAAAACAGAAGACTAGATGGCTAAGTCTGCTACACTCCATAGTGCATGGCAGCTGGTACAGTGAAATAATAGCACTGTATATTTCTCAATGAGATAGCAGACAAGGTGTGAAGACTCCACTATACTCCAACGCCTGCAGCCACTAGAGGATATAAAAATTTAAAGGCAGTCACGCACATTTGAAGGTACAAAATACTGACATCTTAAGACTGAACTAGGACTGCTTAAGTTTTATTTCAAATCCTTTTTCTTAATTTTTGTGATTATGAGTTATTGGGCATTTTCCAGCCTTACAAGGGTAAGGATAAACCATATTTGGTGCTTTATATACAAACATGAAAAATATTTAAAATGACAAAGGTGTAAAAAGTTACATGTTGCTTAAAGGGGCTATTATTTACATGAGAAATTAGGAAGGTTTTACACAACACAGGGAACAGTATAGAAATTGAACCAAGTGCTGACCACAATGCAGTGCTTTATGTACTGCTGTAGAGGAAACTGTCAGAGATTAACATTACACCTCAAGTTAATGGAAACTGTATTTAAGCAACATGAGTGGTTCACCTCAAATCCCAGCAGTTCAGACTGCTTGCACTTACCCAAACGTGTCTCATATATTTAAACTGTGGTATTTTTGTTCATGTTTCACTGCACCCATTAAATTGTTTTTGTCTTACAGTGCAGGGTACAGGAAATTCATTTATTGTGCGGCTCCAGAACTTTATAAACTGCTATACTGTGTTTTGTAAAGAACTAAACTAAATGGCACACTGAACCTGTCTTGTGTCTAACCGTAGAATAAAACTGTCAGCCAACTCAGTGTATAATTATAGCTGAAGAAGAATAAAAGAACTAGTTCACTCCTAATTTAGGGTCTAACAGGTTTGAATGTGTGATCGTTTATATGCAGAACACTTCACTAGACAAGTTAATTTGAATAACAACAAGCCAGATCCTAGCTTTACCAAGCTTGAGTTTAGAGGTATAAATGGATTTAGAAATGATTGAAGAGGCTCAACCTCTGCCATTCCTCTTGCATCCCACTGTAGTTCTGGACCAGTCACCACTGCTCTTGGCTGTTGGCTCCATTCTGGACCTTTGTAGTGACCTTCAGGACCTTGACCATGGCAGCAGAGTTCATCAAAAACTGCTGCAAGGGGCTCCTGTCCAAGGAGCCGGAGCCCGAGCCTGAGGGTAAGACAGTAAGACACGACAGTCCCTACAGGGTCTGTTCATACAGCTCCTGAGACGGATGTTTCACTTCTTCCTCCACCACTCCTTCTTTTCGTTTTCTCACTGTGCGTCATGAGCCTCTTGTCTTCAGTTTTTGCTTTATCGATCACCTTCAAAGCACTAGACTCACTGAAATCCAAAGACATTTGTCATCTTCATATATTAATCAAAACTATGTGCGAAAATTGTCTATTTAAAGGGTTAGGGGCAGGAAAAACCCTTTCCATTCCCTTTGATCGATCCCCATCATCAATCGGCCATCTTGGACTCAGGAATCACAAGACCATCTCATCCCATCGGCCTTCAAGTAGTGTTTAGAGCCTGGATATGATTTTGGGTTATGGCGTCATTTCAGACTCGTGGTCATGTTGTCAAGGGAGAAGGGCTAGTATTCCCTGCTCTGCTCATTTTATTTTTTTATAAGGCTTTTTTTTTCTTTGAATGATTTTACCTCACTGAAATGTTGAATTCTCTTATATTTCTTTCATATTTTCAGTATCAGGCTGATAAAAAAAACAAAGACATTTTTTCATAGCCTTAGAGGGCACTGTAACTGGTGTGTAGACCGTTTCAGTACTGGTCTTTGATTTTTTTTTGTGTTCAGTGTTTAAAGAAGGCACCCCGCCCGCCCGGACTAAGAAATCTACGAGTGTCACAGCTGGTGACAAACCACCTGGGAATCCCGGTTTTGGAAAAAGGAGAGTTGGGTGTTCGGAGGATTATCTCCTCTCGAAGCTGCCTCCTGACGGGAGAGAAGTGCCCTTTGTCGTGCCGACATTCAAGCCTTCATACATTCAACCCAGCCATCTCTACCTCAGCTGCCAGGAAGGACTGCAAGGTATTGTAAAGAATGAGTATAGGCAGTTCCCCAGCAGGACTCTGTAGGCAGCCTAACGAGAATTCACAGTACCACAGTACATCTGCACTGGGGGTCACTTTGTACCATGGTTGTTTTGCTTATTCAAAACATTCCTTTGCTTTGTGTAAAATGGTTTACCACAGCATACTTCACCACACTTTCACTGTGCATTGCTGAAAATTGACCAGTCACATTCCTGTTTTTTCTAACCACAACATTCTCCAGCGGCGCTTTTGTGATGAGTGCTTTTAAACAAATGCCACAGCCAATCCACGGGCATCACTCGTTATGGTATTTACTACCAGCTAGGACACGATTGCATTAATTGTTGGAGCTTTCATGATAATCTGCTTGAAAACTTAGCAGGTGTGCCACCTGAAATATCCAGGCCTTAGGAAAGACCCCTCCTGGGAGGGCATTTTAAAGTGTCTTTTTTATTTTGTAGGTAATGGCTTTTTTAGTGTCAATTTGGCTGTGTTTTAAGGTAACAAAAATATTCTTAAATAAAGGGATTTTGTAAATCAGGAACAAACACAGGCCAATTACACACTCAAAAGTAGAAAGAAAATACACATGTTTTGGCTATGGAGCATTCTTCAGATGTGTGTCAATTTCATTGTTAGGTGGGTGTTATTTTGTAACTGGTTTGCCTGTAAGGATTTGTATCGTACAGAGAGTGAATAGCTTACTGAATCACAATGACAATCAAAAATGCATTCAAGGTGAAAATACTGTGTATCCTTTAAAAAAACAATTGAATGAATTGTACATGCCTTCTGCGTATGCTATCTTGCGGCCTATGGGTTGATAAAAAGAGGTATCACAAGTGTCAGAAGTGCAAAACACTTAAAATTATATTTGTAAAGTTCAGATCTCAATGCAATATAGAGAAAGAGGCATAGTTCATGTCCCTGTTACAACATTCTGACACAATCATGCACAATCAGGTTGACAATCTTGTAAAATTTTAAAAAGCAATAATCATAACTGCAAATATTTGACCATTGACTACCTTTCCAGAGACAGTGTTCCAACAATAGATAGGTTGGTTGTAGCCACCACCAGGTGACACTGTACACATTGGTGTTTGTAATTTCGGTATCACAACTGCAAGTTGATTAGCATGCTCTCAGTTGTGACTCCCCTTCTTATAAAACTTTATTACCAGTTAGATAATGATGTTGCCTCAATTCCCAGAGGCTTCAGCAGGCACAAAAGGAAGCTTCTTCTGGATTTCCTCTGTCAACAGTTTACACTGTGGTACAGAAATTAAAGACCCACTTGAAGTGGTTTGGACTGTCCGAGGTCAGGACATCCACACAGAGCTCATGGAGATCGTTCATGCAGAAGACAAGATTGCAGCCAGTGATAAACGCGAGCTGGGTAGGGCTTCTCAAGTGTCTCCCCAAACACATGTTCCTTGGAGTGCTGCTAAGGAAATTCTGTGAGCGACATTATGTTACATTGTCTGTACAATGCTGAAGAAGCTCTTGGACCATGGCAAAGTGGCTTGCTAGGATGCTGAATTACTTTCCTTGCTTGTACAATACCACATTTTAGTCCTCTTTATTGTCAGTGGATGAATGAGGCACATTTTAACTACTGTGAGACCGTAAAAACATGGGAACCTGTTGCTTTTGGGCCAAAAAGAGACCCAGTGCAATTGATGCATAGACAACAATTTGCTAAGTACATATTTGGTGAATTGTTATAGCACCTTTCCTGAAAGTTGCACACATCTTTGAATAAACTTGCTTTCAGTACTACAACTGGTGAACAACAGCACAAAGCTTCTGGTGGAAACTGTTCTACCGTCAACGCAACGTTGTCATTCTTTTTGACATTTTGTCATTCTTTTGACATTTCTGTTGTTTGACCTCGTCATCCATGACCCTCTGACTCAGTGTTCTCCTTGATCACATGTCCTTACCTCAGCAGATGTCTGCTTATAGGAACATATAAAGGACAAGGTCCATCAGAGATATACTGTAGGAATGCTGAACACCCATTTTAAACACACCAGTGCATACATTCCATGGGACAGTGTTACGTCAACAGTTTGGAATTTTGGAAAGCTTTCTTGATTCACTTGGTGAACAATTAACTTGAATGGAGCAACACATATTGGTGACTCTTTGTCACCTTGCCTGATTCTGTAAATTCTGAGAAAATTAGATACACAATCATTAAGCATTTCTTCTTATAGTGATCTATTGATTTCTTTGGACCAACTTTATTGATGTCACATTGTGTAGGATATGTAATGTGCATGACACACCAAATTCACTATGACAATATTAAAAGACCTTTCCTTTATTGGAGTCCAAAAGTACCTGGTACTAAATTTCCATTCCTAGAAGAAACCAGGTTTTCTCTACTGCTTGTACTATAATTACACTGTTATTCCTCTGTCTTTGAAATGCTTACGACAGGCTCGGCCAGGAGCACTTTCACGGACCGAAAGGCAGAGCTGTCTGGTCTGAGTCAGGTTGTCTATGATCCTGATGCAGTCTTTCATCCCAACTACATGTTGGACCACATATCCCCGGGATCAGCTCGCCGCCAACCTCTCAAAACCAAGGGAGCCAACATCCATGGATCAGGTAAGCTGGGGCCCAACCAGCCTTTCATTCTGTGCTGGAATGCTTGCCAAGACCGAGGGTTCAAGTCTACAGTGTAGATGGTGCTTTTGTATTCTTGAGGTGCTTTGCTCTGATGGCTTCAGTCAGCCCAGCTGTAAAGATGAGTTTCAGCTTTTGTTTATGATGGACTAGAATTCCATCCTGGGAGGTGTGTCCTCTAAACAAAATGCAACATCACTTCCAGGTCTCCCAGATAGAGCTGGTTTGAATCTGCATCGTGTTGCACCATTAGAAGAGCCCTGCCAGGGTAGGGAGGACAATAGTCAGCCAGGCACAGCTAAACACACACCGTGACGTGAAAGAAGAATTGCACCTGGAACTGGAGCTGAATATCCTAAAAGGCACAGTGAGCTGGCAATAGGCCAAAATCCGCCTGACTGTAACAGGAGGGCGTATCAGGGGTGTGTCCTTCCTATGTAGAATAGAAGTTGTAGCCATGAGCCATGCTTTGGAATAAGAATGAAGAAATGTGCGCCTTATTGTGCTGGTGTTTTGTTGTCTATTTAAACCATAGATGATAATAGCAGAAACATTCGTTATTTCCCAGGTAATATTGACTGAAACTGCATGACTATGTTTTTGAATCAGTGGAAAACACTTGACACACACACTCTGATATTGTGTAATTGTATACTGAAAGTTCTAATGATCAGAGTTAACAAATTATATAAAAATACAAGGATGAATTACTGTTATGAGATATCAGTGTTGTAACATGTTTGCTTTTGAGATCTAAGAAAGGTTAGAGGAGGAAATTTGACCCATCACTTTACTGTGGTTTCAAGTATCATATAGATCAAAGAAACTCACTGGGCCATTTCTAAAGTATCCCATGAAGTCAGGTTCACCACCCTTATCAAGGACTTTGAACTAAACCCCACAGTTCCTTGTTTTAATACAAACCTGGAGACAGAGATTGTCAGCTGAGATTTCTGGTTTACATTTAGTTGTAGTTCTGTGTTTTCTTGCAAAAATAGCTTGAAATAGAATATAGAATCATAAAAATATACATCCTTTAGAAAGGCTACAAACACACATTAGGCCCATTTAGCTAATTTGGTTGCTAATCGGTAATTAATCCAAGGATCCAATCCATCAATTTTATGATAGAAGTCAGGTTATTTACTTCAACAGCATGGCTGGGTAGCTTGTTTCAGACTGCCAAAACTTTTTCTGTAAGAAAGTGCCTCCCGTTCTCCATTTTAAACACATTTCTCAATAGTTTCTACTTGTGTCCTCTGGTTTCACTGGTGAATCTAAAGAAGTCAATCGGGCAGACAGAGACTTTGAGGATTTTGCATGCTTGAATTACATCAAATTCCTTCAAGTCCACGAATTCCTTCAAGCTGATGGCGGCTCTTCTCAGGATTGATTCCAGAGCAACAATATCTTCTGTGTTGGGCAACATTGTATACAATATTCAAATTGACATTTTACTAGAGCACTGTGCACTTTTAGCACAGGATCCCTCGATGTTTTAACTAATTTTAAATTGATATGCTAATTGTATATTCCTCTCAATTTGGCATCATCTGAGAACTTGACTTGATTACTAGTTAATGTACATTATTGCTAAAAATAATACGTTACTGATAAAAATCAAGAAGAGCCATCATCCTAATACAGATTACAGTGGTTTTCCACTTATTTGCTCCTTATCTGCATTCTCTATGTTCAATCCATTAATCAGTTTCCAATCCAAATACATGCATTGCCTTGAATATCTGCTACCTGCAATTTGAGAATTAACCTTTAATTACAAACTTTCTCAAAAGCCCTACATGGACATGTAAAATCTACATGGACCATACCATGCGGTCTGGCTACATTCATCAGCATTGATGCTTTCTCAAAGGCTCTCACGAGTTAGTTAAGCAAGACCTGCTTTTTTTTAAATTCATATTGACTATCCCTTTTCCTTTTTGTTAGGATTGCATTTTCATGGTAGCTTCAGGTTAAGTTGTAGGGAAGGAAACTATCTTCTCATAAAAGTCTGTGCAGGTCTTGAGTATATGGTTTCCTTTTTAAGAATCTGAAAAAAAGACCAAGATAAGTGTTTTTGTGTATTTTGCGGTTTTTAATAGCCACTTATTTTGCATTGTATCTCTCTCTAAGTGCCAATACTTAAATAAGTTTCACCTGGTCAGAAGAACCTTCACTGTTTTCAAAGGCTTGGTAAGCACCTGGAGAGGAAAGGACAGGACAAGGTGTGTCAACAAGCTTTGATATTAAACATGCCTTAGTGACGTGGTGCTATAAACTTGTTTGATTATCGATGTGGGTTTTACTGGCATGGCTGTAAATAAAATTTTGATAGGGTTGCTTCACCATGTAAAATATACATTGTTAAGATGTTTGCACACAGTGAGTCTGCAGGTTCCTTGTTCTTTTAATGTGTACCTGTTACACACGCCACAGTTTTTTTCTATTATATCAGGCAGTCATGTGGGTCTTAGATTACTGTCATATTGAGTATGTCTGTAGTGCTGTGTAATTAATTTAACTCTCTTGAGAAAACATTCGCTATTACTTTTGTAGGTGTGACATACAGAGCCCTGACATATTTCATTACCCAATTTTGACATTGACACACAGCTGCATCTATAGATTTTGCCCTAAAAGTATGAGACCTTAGGAACAGTAGCTTTACCTGTTACTATGCAGAGCCTGATGTAAACAAACAAGTACTAGGATGATATTTACACATTAGTGTAATGAGGCGACATTCTGTATATACAGCACTAAAATTATATTTTTTCATCATGGACAGTTAAAACCATCTGAATAGATTGTTTGAGCATTTTCAAATTTTACCTTGGGAAAATAATTTCAATTTAGTGTGATGTTACATGTATACAAGTTTTAAAAAAAGTTGTGCATAAAGTGCTTTTGGAAACGGTATCAGCAGGTTGGACTTTATCTTAGGGAAAGACTCAGAAAAGATGAGAAACCTCCCTCAAAGAATCTGCAAGATCAGAAAATTTGAATACTTTTGTTTTGATTTTTATGTCTCACAATGTTTTAAATGATTTCTAGATATGAATAAAGCGTCTCTTCAAATGACATGGTTCTGTACTCTCACTTGTACCGTGGCAATCAGATTTAGAGGGGAAATTTCATTTTGAAGCCATTTAAATATTTGCATTCCAAAATGAAAGCTAAACCTTTTTGAAAAGTGACATTTAAGCAAACAGTAAAATGGAGCATAGCTTATAGAGGGCCCTAAGGCGTGACTGCTGGTTGATGAATGACAAAAGCATGAGTGGCTGTATTGAAGCTAGCTGTTCTTAATCGTCCTGTTCTGTCCCTGGTGTCTTTCAGCGTGGGACCTGAAAAGCAGCAAGACCCTTGCATCTGTCGGACTGAGTGGCTCTTCCTTGGACCTGGGCCCCCTTCAAGGCCACATGCAGGTGAGCGCCACCCTGCGGTCATGTCAGTGTTTTGGTTTGTGACGAGTCTAAATGAGTATAAACAGGAGAAAATGTAGACTCGAGGAAGTGCCCTGTAAGCTTTAAAGTTCAGAAAACTCATAAAACTGGACGACTCTCGCTAATCATACTGTACATTGATGCATTGAGTTTTGAGTGTTTTTACTTTTGACTTCTCTAACACAGTTTAGAACTTTTATCTCCTCATTGTTGCACAATTTCTGAAAGTCTTTCAGTGCCACTGACATTATTTATTTTAAAAGCCTCATTTTAAGTTGGCTCAGGAAGGAATACGGCCGCAGGTTTATGGAATTTTTTTTTATTTCAGTTTTTATCAGGCGAACATTTGGCCTCTCCTGCAGCATGTGAATCTGCCTTTTCTGCTTGTGGAATTCTTTTATATTTTTCACAAATTTGGACACCTGTCCGGTACAAATTTTCACTTTAGAAGATATCCAGTGGGACATGAGGGTTTATGTTCTCTTCATGTCAGATGTAATTTCAATTTTATCTGCAACTATGTACCGGTTAATCCCTCATCCTACTTCAATAACTAAATCCATTCCTGGATTTATACAGTCTGGGAGTTTTTTTATTCATTTCATGTGAAAAGGCATTTTTTTATCTCTAGATCCATTAATGAATGCAATTGCTGCAAACAACTCTTCCTAAGTTAAATAGCACAGCCTCTTCTTGATAAATAAATTACCAGCTAAGAGAACTCTAAATGCAAACAGTCTACACAAGCCCCTCTTAAGAGAATGAAAATGACTTGAAATAGTTGTTAAACTACTTCCATTTCCTGCTTAACATTCTCCTTAAATAGTAAGTAGGCCTTGTAATGTAATTTCTCATATTAAACACTTGGGTAAATTGCCGCTATCACTGACAGTAATTTCATTTTATACATTTCAGTTTTAATATAAATAAATGTCGTGTTAACCCTGGATAATCTACGCAGTGTTATTTGTGTGTTTCCCAAAACTCCCCATGTGACTTGTGTTTGCACATAAATATATTTCTTGCCATCACCAGCTGTACTGTACCTGTGGTATTTGCAAATTCGTTATGTTCCTAATGCCTATTGTTTGGTTTTAAGGAGTGTCCACTAAACAAATGCAGTTTTTTCTGGTACTTCCCTCTTAATTAATTGAGCCATGTGTAATGAAGGCCTCATCTCTGTCTTGCAGCCCACTAGAGATATGTACAGGTACAGGGGGTATCAGCCGACTGTCAACGACAACATATTTGTTGACTTTTACGTGTTCTGTTTTGAATCCCATGCAAAAGATTGTCTCCAGTGGAGACACATAACATCCAAGACACCTTCAGCAGCAGCAGATCTGAATATTAGATTTCTGTCTGCATCTGCAAAGGGCTGGTTGTGTCTCCTAGCTGTCTGTCCTTTCTAATGTTTTTAATGTATATATATATGACTTTTAGGCACTTAATTGTTGCTTTATCATGGCTGTGTTTTTAGAAATGGTATAGAACGTCTCTTGAAATATTTTTGCTTCATGTGAGCAGTGAATGCTTACAGTCATCATGGGCATCTGCTAAGCAAATGAAGAAGGAGAGGAAGGTTCTATGCTATACCAATATCAAATGTCTATACAAAATGACAAATGATACAGATTTTGTTTTTGTTTTGTGCACATTAGCTGTTGTTTGAATGATGCTTCCATTTCCCTGGTGGGATTCATTAAACTTGCAACTTCATTTTAAACAGCAGCACAATGTGTACCATGCCACTGTTCTCAGCTTGCTTTGGTGTAGGAATGTTCTCATAAGTGTCCCTGTTATTTGCCCTCCCCTTGTCTGTCCTGCCACCCCCAGCGCTACGACTCCATGTCCAGTATCCAGAGCAGCACATCTTCTATGAGAGACTCCCAGGGAAGCAGCCGCAGCCTAGGTAACACCAAGGGCCAATCAGTATTGACCTTGTAGCCCAGGTTACACCCAGGGCCAATCAGTATTGACCTTGTAGCCCAGGTAACACCCAGGGCCAATCAGTATTGACCTTGTAGCCTAGGTAACACACAGAACCAATCAGTATTGATCTTGTAGCCTAGATAATGCACAGGGCCAATCAGTATTGATCTTGCATCCTAAAGAACACCCAAGGCCAATCAGTGTTAGCCCCACAACAAAGCTAACACCCAGGGTCAATCAGCATTGATCTGCTGATCTTACAGGTGATTTTTAAACTCATTAATTGGAAGGGAACCATGCTAAATTATTGAAATAATAGCAAGCTTTGGTTTTTTACTCATGATGATCTAACCATTAAGTGGTGAAATTGTAAGTGTTCTTTTACTAGAGGCCTGTGCTGTTGCCATAGTTTATGTCATTAGTTAATCCAAAATTGCCGATTGCTTTAAAAACATCAGCAAAGGTATTTTTGCACCTCTCCCTTAACCGGTTTTGAGATAAAGCGTGCTAATTGGGATTAAAGCATTGTTAACATTTCTTCTTTTGTTTGGTTTTCTTTTGGAGATTTACATAAACCTTGAATGAGTATGCCTCCTCTTTAAAATAAATCTATTCAAAATATTTTAGGCATGGCCTTATCTCTCCATTGTTTAGAAACTGTGATTGAATCCAAGTGGATGAGATGCACATATAAAGGTCAGAGTAGTATATCTAAGTGAGGCCCCAAAGGCAAAAGCACAGCCCACTAGGCAGCTGACAAGATTATGTCTTCAAATTTTAATTTCACCTGAGCTCTGCGCTCCTTTTTCTGGTCCTTGTTGTGCTGGTGATATAAAGTTTTGCTGCACTATAGAACAGTTCAGAGTTGTACTCTCCTGTTTCAAAGGAGACTATGGATAAAGCTTAGTCTCCTACAGAACTCTAGCTTTCATTGCTTTTCGAAACATACGAGAGATTATGACCCCTAGTACTCCACAGCAATATTGTGACCATTGGGCAATTTTGGGAGTAATTGCTTCCAAATGTGTTCTGTTTACATACATAAACCAGAACATTCCTCTTCTCTAGTGCCTTACATTCTGAGATAAAGCTGAACCATATATTGTTTCCAAAGTAAACAGATATTGTAAAGAAAACTCCATTGTACCAGTTTGTAGGTAGAATATTTGGTGGCAGATTTACTCACAACATCAAATACTGTCCTATCTGACTTTGAGCATTGAATGACAAGTTGATTTTTGAAACTGGGTTTGCAATTGCTGTTTGCAGACCTTTTACATAGTGATTCGGGGAACTGGATTAAATCCTTCTTCTGCTGTAACACTGCAGTTTTTGTCCTCCTTTTTAGAATCTATCACTCTCTCAGGAGATGAAAGGGAGCTGGGGAAGCTGAATGTCAAGCTGTGTTACCAGGAGCCTCTGGAGCAGATCTGGATCACTGTGGTAAAGGTAAGATTACAGGGGCCTGGCAAGCCAGACACTCATATAATGCTTCCATACAAATGCCTCATTGTGTCGCATCAGCCCCTCAATAGCAGTCCTTTGTATGGAGCGCATTGTGAAACTTTCAGCACTGAAACACCATCCCTGTGCTCCACCTTCAGTCCTGAAAACGTCCATTTGCACAAGTCATTTCAAAGGTTTGTTCCAAAAAACTGCATGTCGGCTATTGGCGAAGAAACCTGGAAAACCAGGTGATAATCCATCTTTTCATATTGTCTTACATGCTAAAGAAGGCAGAAGTCAAAGTCATTGATTACAGGCCATGTTCTTTCAGTTTGCAACTGAACCCAAGGAAATGGTGTTACCACTGTAAGGAAAAAATACCGATACACATTCTGTGCTGTTTCTTTGGAAATTAGAGAAAATAAACTCTGAACCTAATTTTTTTGTACAATTAGAAAGAATTTTTTCCCCCAGTTAATATTACTTAATTTTGGCCAGGGCTGTCTTTTGTCTTTTTTTTAAGAGTTTTTAATTTTGCCACAGGTTTGGGCTTCAGAAATACAACCCAAATACAGGTGCCCAGTAAATCTCAATGCACCAAAAATGTCATCAACGAAGTCTTCATCGCCAAGTGGCACTCTTGTGAATGATATGATAAGCAGTTACAGCTTCAGCTATGAAGTTAAATGTTACTTTGGCAGCATATAATGAGCTCATGTACCCCGTTTCCTGGGTTTCCAAAGCAACAGACCCCTGTCAGGTCTGAGAACATTTGCAAGGACATCAGTTGGAGACGCACCATGCCCTCCTATGTGGTGCTGACTCACCTGTAAAGCACTTTGGCGCTCAGCTCTGTAAAGTCCTCTACCTCCTCAAGTGTTACTGGGGCTGTAAGGCTGGGTCAAAGTGATAAGAAGTTGGCAATTCCACATCAGACAGGTATAAATAATTGAGTTTTTTGAGAAAGAGGGTTTTCTGTTATCCCTTAGAAATTACTCACAGTATATATTTATAACTGTTTCTTCCTGAACTTCTTTAGAGTAAACAAATCTGTAATTATCATGATGTACTCCAAAAGAAAAAGAGATGGCTTGTGTAAAAACTGCAGGGGCAAAGATCCAAGTAAACAAATGGTGGAAGATGAAAAGCTGGTGAAAATAAAGAGAAAGCATTAACTGAGAAAGCATGAAGTATGCAATTGAAACCCTCAGGCTTTTGATCTCTGGTGTGAATATAGTTTCAATTACTGTGAAAAAGATTGGGATCTCCTGCTGATAGCTACTGCGAAGACAGCAACTGTTGGTTTAAAGGTAGACTAATTAAACAGTGCTGAGCACTTTAAAGGAACCTGTAGTTAACAGGACACTGCAGCAATTACACGTCATGTGTGAAAGCGACATCTTGTGTGCTGTAAGTACTTTGCTGTATTTTCCCTGTAGGAAAATACTTTCTCCGCCACTTTCAGGAATGTTTTCTTTCTGCAGGACAAACCAAGACAAGGAGGAAGTAAAGGGCGGCATATTGTTTTATTGAAGTATTTAGTCATCCTACAGCCCTGGCTGAAAGTAGAGATTTTCTATTTTAGTCAGAATTACAGCGTTCATCTGACCTCTGTGTTCTGCCTTCTTTCATTTGTAGTGCAAAGACCTGTACGTACCTGATGGAGAGCTGCACAAAGTCAGTGTCAAAGGGATTATAACCTTAGCCAAACCAGTGCAGTTCAGGTCTTCAATCAAAGAAGGGTCACCTGTAAGTACAAACATTTGCATTAACTACCTTTACTCATTGCTTGTGGACTGCTGTGGAATCATAGCCAATCATAAAACCCACCAGAAAGGGTTTTGTCTGTCTGTTCTCTCTGTCCTTAAGCCGGCATCAAAATAAATGACTCGACACGACTTCTAGTCTGAAAGCATATCAAATTTAATGACTACAGTTGTTGAATCTCACTGCATTTTCTGTCCTAGAGGGTGTCAAATTATACAACTAGGAATCACAGGGGGCGTCTAATTATGCGATTCTGTCACAGCTTTTCTTACCAGTTCCAAATCTCGTTTTGCGCCCCTAAAGTATCAAAACTATAAAACCAGTTTGATTTTATCGTAGCGAGTCACAGGGCTCTTACAGTCTTAACAGTCGCTGTTAAGAGCGCTATGACTGAGTTGCTGGGGATGTTACACTACACAACAGATGGTAACGTCGCGCACTGCGACTCTCTACAACTCGCTGTGATTTTCTTAGGATTATGTAAATGAAGGCTATGACTGAAAATCCTGAGAAAAGTCATATAGTGTGATGCCGGCATTACAATTGTTGCTCCAGTCATGCCCATATTTCTCAGCTTTACTTCCACGTTGTGGACCCACCAGAAAAAGGAGCCTTGCCTTTTCTGTGTTTTGAGAACATGTGAGTGTTTCAGATGTTGTATGATAGTGAAAATTGTTCAATAAATAATCATATGTTAGTTGACCTTAAATCTAGTTTCTAAGTAGTTCCCAATCAGATTATAAATCTGATTTATAAACAGCTGGAAAAGATTGCTTTGGGGAACCAAGTTGTAAATCCCTCTGTTCACTGGATGGACCTGTGGCCTTACTAAAGCACTGCCAAGCAGGTTGTACTTTCCCAGTGCTTGTTCAGGCAGGTTTGTCTCACTTCTGACTCACAGGATATGATACGTCCTCTGGGTGAGACCAGGCAGTGGAGAGATAAAAAGGACGGCATTGCTCTATGTTGGAACAAGTAATAGGTTTATTCCATGCTGAAAAAAAGAAGAAAGAGAACACAACGTTTCGGCCGTGGAGCCTTCTTCAGGTGTGAGAGAGCCTGCGCATGCTGACGCAGCTCCTTTGCAGCCTACGCATGCTGATGTAGCTACCCACCTGAACTACTATTGCTCTATGTTGTATTCCAAGTAGCAATTTAAGGAGCTTCTCTGGACACAAGCACAACCTGGGTTTTCCAGCTCAAGAGACTAAGAATAAATTGTTCTTCCTTGTCTCCCAGAATGTGGAGTTCATGGAGACGTTCGTCTTCGCCCTGAAGCTCCAGCAGCTGCAGACTGTGGGCCTGGTGTTTAAAGTACAGACCCACAACCCTCGGAAGAGGACGCTGGGGGAGTGCTCAGTGACACTCCGAAAGCTCAGCTGCCAGGAGATTCCCTACTGGCTGGACATCAGCCCACCTTCCAAAGCCCCGGTAAGCCATGACAGTCTCTTGAGAGTCGGAGACTTTCTGGGTTTCACAGCTTATTTCTTAGGAACATCCATTTTCTAACTGCTCTACCCAACTCAGCAAGCCAAGAGAACAGCTTGCTAGGAGTCTATCCCAACATGCAACAAGTGCAAGGCAGGGTACCCCCTGGATGGGACAGTAGTCCATTCACACACAGACACAAACATGCTCACCCAATTTTCCCAGAAGCCAATTAACATAATAAAATGTCTTTGGACTGTGGGAGGAAACTAGAGGAACCCTGTGAGAACACACTGTACAAACTCTATGCAGAGAGCACCCTAGGAATTGAACCCAGGGCCTCAGTACTCTAAGGCAGCAATGCTGACCACTGTGCCACCTTTTTAGTTACCTCATGGATCCAATTTATTTCATGCTACAAGTAGTCATTTTTCCAGGTCGTTCTAATTTAAACCTTTAAAGCAGCTCTTTGCAGTAGAGCAGTAGAAATGTGGCTGAGTTCTTTTCTGAGGTAGGACCAGGTTTGCAAACCAGCGATCCTGCTTTCTAAATCCATCAATCTCATTTTGTCAGCCAGTGCTTTCTCTGGGTGCTGCGACTTGCTCCGTGATTCACGCCACCTCCAGCATAATGATGCCCTTCCACTTTTAGGGGGGCGTCAATAATGACATACTTTGCATGGGTCACCTTAGTTTTTCCTGATGGCTACAGGTACATTTTTTTTCCATCCCATAATGCAGTGGAAAATGAAACTGAAAAGTATATTTGTAATATGTATGAAAACTGATTAATGTTTGGCCATTTTTCCAGCTGCTCTCTGTGTAGAAGAGTTTAGAAGTGTATGTTGAAGGGGTAGTCTGTGGTCTGTTGGAGATGAACCTGTTATGGTTACAGATCAACCTGAGACACATCAGGCTCCTGTGTGAAGATGGACTGTACCCCATATAACCCTTGAGAATTCCATATCCACGCTCAATATACAGGAAGGGGAATTAAACCTTTTATTGATTCATCATGGGAAAAAGAAAACCTCGTTGCTTTTTTACCAAATAGGTTTATTGCCGTCATAAAGGACAGCTGGCACCCAAGTGGCTCTGTTTGCGTAAAAACCCCTGAGAGTGAGTTGGCAAAATTCCAGCGGAGCGAGGAAATAGTTTCTGTTAACATCCAGGTCCAAGTCTTCTTGTTGTTGCCCGAAGATGAGCAATACCCCTAAAACATTATCCTGCCATTTTGAAGCTCTGCTTTGAAATACAGTAGGAAGAGCAAAATCCAAATTTTATAAACCTAGACATTTGAAAGGCCTTCAGGGATTTTTCTATCCTGGAAGATTTTATGGAAGGGCTTAGAGCTTGTTTGTGCTGTTTTCTTTGTGCTGTTGGGTAGTGATGAGCATTTTGTGAATCTGGCTGTAAAGTAGAAGCTGCACTACTGGAAACCTATGACTCCACTTTTATTTCTTATAATGGGCTAAAACGTACAGAAAGGGAGCTCACTGCAGATGGAGAGGTGTTTTCAATAATAAGCAAGTGCTAAAAGTTAGAAGCCTTTTTTTCCCATTTGTGTAGGAGTCTCTGAGTCAGTGTGCTCTCAGGCGCACAGCTGGCTGTCTTCCCTTTGTTTCAATGGTGCACAACACCGCTGTGTCACTGCTCAAAGGACTTCAATTCCATCTTCATCAGAGCTCGAAGTGTTTATCTTGTGGGTCCAGCTTGGTTCTTTTCATCCATCACTTACACTGGTACTATTTTAAAAGATTCCGCTTTTTACCTTACAAAGCACACACTCATACATGGTGGTTTAGGAGACGCTTGAGGCCTAGCGTGATGGAGATGTGTGTTTTTCCTTCCCTGTTTCTAAATGGTGCCCTGAAATGACACTGTATTTCTCCCTGTAACTTACATTTATTCATCCTAAACACTCTGTGTTCTTTGTGCAGCTTTGTTAAAGGTTGTTAAGGAAGAGGGAACTCCTAAACTCTTTTTGTAGTTATGTTGAAGTGATTTGTAGAAACTGTCATTAACCTTCTTATAGGATCTTAATTTTTACTATAAACCTTTCCGTCAGTCCTTCCAGATCAGTCAGTTTACAGTGATGATCTGGAATGCTCCCATTCATACACCAGGGCACTCACTGGAGAAATCTGAGTGAAATACCTTACTCAAAATGCAAGACCTGGGATTTGAACCCACTACCTTCCAGTTACACATCCAGGGACCTGGTCCCTACTCCACTCTGCTGCCCCGAATGTGAGAGCTACTGTGACCACCAGCTACTAATTTAACTGTGAATTTTTAGGTGTAAGGGTGGCATGATAGTGTAGCAGTTAGCATTGCTACCTCGCACGGCTGGGGCTCTGACTTCAATTCCTGGGGTGCCATTTGTCTTTATGTCACCCCATGTTTAGATGAATTAGCTTATGGAACTGGCTTCACATCCAGGGTGTGCCCTGCCTTGTGCCTGTTGCCTTCTGGGAAAGACTCCGGCTCCCCTGTTCCCCTGTACTGAATAAAGTGTTAGAAAATAAATGGATGGATATTTAGGTTAAAGCTATTCTTTTTCACAGCCTTTTTTCAAATACTTACTGTTGTTTAACACCTTCAGAGCCAAGCAGATATTCTTTTGCACCTTCAGAAACGAGTGTTTTAATGCAGCTGGAATTCAGTACCTTTTTGTAAATGCTTTTGTGAATGCAACAGGCAGTTACAGACACTGCTCGGGATGTTGGTCTTTTTCAATTGCAGCACCACACTAAGCAAAACAAAATATCCACTGTAAAAGCAAGGCTAAAACATAAAAAAAGAGAACAGACAAAGAGCACATAGAAGCACTTGGTAATGCAATTGTAATGTTTGCATGAATGTGTAAGTGCTTATAATTAGGTAATAGTTGAGTTTGGACCATGCAGATGAACAGTTTTATTTTGGAATAATAATTCAGCCGTCTTCCTCTTCTCCCAAGCCTTTTGTAATTCAGATTTTTAAAATTTTGTTCCACTTTCCTATCAGATCTGTCATGCTGAGCTCCATATTGCTACCTGTTTCCAGCCGGTCAGTGGCAGAATTCAGATCCAGATTCTGGGAGCACAGAACCTGCCCAGCTCCTCCACACCCTTGAGCCAGAGTAGGTGGTTCCGATACCTGTTTGAGTTACCATTTAATTTAACTTTAAGCTATGGCTTTAATTTCTCTTCTCCCCAGACATAACGCAAAGAAACAGTGATGAAACTGAACAGCGTGGTGCAGGCCTAAAAAACATTGCAAATCGATTCAGAGATCTTGCTTGAGTGCTAAGGAAACGTTTAAGGAAATATTCCTCCTTAAGTTGATGTACAAAATCACTCACTCTCTGGCAGAACTGAAGAATGAGAATACATGCTTCCAGTTCCATCATATGTGTAATGTTTTCAGAGCCTGAACAGAATGGACTTCATGGAAATAAAGGCAATATCTAATAGAAAGATGGAGAGTTTTTTTCATATTTAATAATAATAATAAATTTTATGTATAGAGCACCTTTCATACAGATAGCAGCTCAAAGTGCTTTACAAGCCGAGCGTAAAAATAAAATATTAAAATTAAGAGATATACTTTCAGTTGTAAAGGTTGTACAGGAAAACACCGTAATACAGTAAAGCAACATAAATGTCAATTTATGCTTGAAAAAGAAATGAATAGTAATCAGGAAAGTCATTATAAAATAAGAACAATAAAAGATAAATAAAAAAGAAAGATAAATAGAAAGAACAAAGAACCATTTTAACTACAAGCTAAATTAAAAAGATATGTTTTCAAATGTTTTTTAAAACAATGTACTGAGCTTGTCTGCCTAATAAAAAGTGGTAGTGAGTTTTACTGTGTATACTATTTATTGTGTATAACCTTTACTATGGAGAAATCATAACCTCGGCATTAGTTAGGCTCTTTTTCTCTTAATGTATTTAGAATAATTGATGGGACTATTTAGCTTTGCTAAATAGGGAATATTGTATACCATATCTGTATCTATATATTGTTTATCTGAAGAATTTAGTATTTTTGGTGGTGAGCAGAAGGAGGCTTGTTACAATGTTGTTTTCCATCCAGAAGCTCTAACTGTCTGTCTGTTAAATGGTGCCTGCAGGCTTTTTCATTAAGGCTGAAATGTACGGTGCAGATGGGCTGGTAACCAAGAAGAAGACCCGGGCTGTGAAGTCCTCCGGGGGGCAGGCCCGCTGGGGGGAGACTTTCCTTTTCCCCGTGGCCCAGCAGGAACAGGGTCTCCGCTTCACAGTTCGGCTCTACAGCCGCAGCTCCGTCCGCAGAAAACACTTCCTGGGTCAGGTGAGCACCTCGGCAATGCTATATACTGTACAGTCACCTGTGGAAAAACACTGGGAAGCTGGTACAAAACGGCCCTTTTAGGCCACACTTTGACCGGTGTTACAGGTCATCTGAAATCACCTGCAGCTTCAGACTCATGAGAATAGATTTAAACTGATCTAGAGTAGAAACACATTGAGTTGAGTTACTGTAATGAAGAGTCCAGCTCAAACGCAACCTAGAAGACCTGAATAGGAGCTCAGCACCTGTTTCTTTGTTAGTATGGAGAAAAAACCTTGCCTGGCGGTTTAGACCTCTATATTTTACACAAGCTGAGAAATGTCTTATTCAGACATCACTTTGTTGTACTCAGTCCTTGGAATAGAACAGGACTTCAACATCACTGGACAGATTTTGTAGTTTTGTCAGTCTGTAAGATGTTTAACCTTTCTTTACAGCAATGGATCTGCAAGAGCCCCTGTTGGCCTTGGTGGTCATGATTATCTGTTTGTATCCACAGGTCCTCATTGGCTGTGAAAGTACCACCAGTGAGGCCCTTGAACAGTGGAGAGACACAGCAACCAACCCAGAGAAAGTGGTCGCCATGTGGCACAAGCTCAGTCCAAGCTGAAAGACCTCAGAGGACTTAACAACAAAGTACAGCATCTGGCTTCTATCAGACTTCCTGGATCCATGAGAGAAAAACTTGAAATACAAAGGCTCATTGATGCAGGGCCTTGGAAAATGCTTGAAACTGCACTTCGGTGGACAAGGAGACATGACACAGCATGTTTTTGTCAAAGCTTGTGCCTGCTGCTGTGCTGTTTGTAGAAGTGGTGTTCCTTGTGCTACAGAAACCTTGCTTTGAAATGTGTTCATTGTTCTGTACAGACACAGCCAATAGGACCAGCTCTCTTGGGTGGAGGTTTCTCTTTTAGCAAGGTTTAATCAGCTAAATGGCAAATAACTGTCCAAACATGCTTGAGTCCTCTGTTATGCTACCAGCACAATGTTTGTATGTGTTAGTCAGTGTAGGATGGAGGGATAAACCCACAGAGAAGAAAGTAAAGTGGATTAGAGAAGTTATGCTGAGGCTGTTAAACAGCACCAAGCATTTTAATTTCTGCACAGAGCTGTTCCAGCCTTCTTTTTTAATGTGAGAAAGAGGAGCCACATGGAGGAGAAAAGACTGGAAAGGTGATTGAAATCCACGTAATTACAGTTGAATACCTTTTTTAAAAGTGTCCGCTTATGTCCTTATTAAGCAGTTTATGATATAATGTAGGCTTGACTTCATGACTTTTATTTAATTCCTGTTTTGTTGAAGCTCAATTGAAAATACCCTCTAACAAGTCAGAGTACTAGTAAACCTTTCAGGTAGGACACATTCAAGACTGATCTCTTGGTCTTAAAAACCTACAGGAAACAGTAAATGGTGTCTTTTTAAAATACAAATTAAAAGCAAAACATGCAGGTGTTTTTCCCAAACCTGGTCTACTAAATGATGATTCAGAGAATGCTTAGCATAACCCACATTTGTCATGCATTGAGTCTGATTGTCTCAAATGATGGGATTGCATTTATGGAATGGATTATAAGAGTTTTATTTTTGTCTGTTACATCACACTTAAAAATAAAACAGTAAGTGAGAGGTTAGTTTTATAGAGAGCTGAAGTAAATGTGAATTTGAATTAGTAGAAAACTGAGCATAGTTTTATTTCTAATAGGGACACTTCAAATGTGTGCCCATTCCTGTGTGTTACACAAAAGAATTATAAAGCTAGGTTCAAAGAGTGGCATGTCAGACCTTTTTTTCTCTACACCATGATTTGTCCCTGGGAGTTCCATCTGGTGAGGACATATTAAGACTCTTCGCACTCCACATTACCACTGCCAATCAACTGCCTACTACTGAGATGGGATTTTCAACACACTATATTTTTATTAAAAATAGAAACACTTATGTTTTTAAATTGGTGGATAATTTACTGAACAAAAATAGTTTATTCCAATTTCACAGGTTTGCTCTCTACAGATAGAAATCCATGTAAAGTCTGAGATTCTGTGGAGAATGAAGATTTTTTGTCATATCACAGCACCTTACCATATATAATACTCTTCGGTCAGAACAAAACATCACATGTTGTCAAGATAGTAATTCTATATTTAGTACAGAACAGTGAAATTAAATACATATTAATAAAACACATTTGTCTCGAAGGCCATGTCTTGTGAACTAGTATATCTAATGTATTAGGCTGTCTACAGAAATTGGTCACAGAAGAACATGATACAACACATGGAAATTACAACAGTTGAACTTGGTATCATTTTAAATTTGTTTTAGAATTCTTTTTCACACCGTTCACAAAGTTCATATGATAACAAAGTAATACAATTACACAAATTAGAATAATGTAAACTATTAAAATTAATAATGTAACTATTTAAGCATTTTTGTTTTCAGAAGCATATTGTAAAATTATATTTGTAGATGTACATATGTTTTCCGAACCCATGCCATCAGAAGGGACAACCAAATAAAATATTTTTATTGGGAAAGCAATTCAAATCCTTGTGCCTCTCTTTTGAAAGGGGAATTCATTTTAAAGACAGCTCAGACCTTACACTGTTGTTGTGACTTCTTCAGCAAGTAATGACATACTATACATAATTACATAATACATAATATCATCAATTTCCCTACGGTATTAATAAAGTATTATCTATCTATAAACATATTATAGCTTATAATATATACTGTACTGTAGTTATAGTATAACAGACCTCCCCACACCGGGGCTCACAATTGTCAGTGGAGTACAGCGGGAAATTGCATTCGGGTTTGACCTTCAAGTTCATGTGTGTCATCTCAACTCACCTTTCGTACAGCGACTTGCTAGTTACCTTCAGGTATGCAGTGACATCAGTGAAAGACACTCTCCTTCTCCAGTCATTGCTAACTCTCCTATAAGCTGCTATAGAGCTGGAGACATGTTAAAAGGTGATTAGCCAGCAGCCATATCACCCTGGAACTTACAATTGGCAACCCACTGAAGCTAAGCAGGTGTGAGCCTGGTCAGTACCTGGTCAGTACCTGGATGGGAGACCTCCTGGGAAAAACTAAGGTTGCTGCTGGAAGAGGTGTTAGTGGGGCCATCAGGGGGCACTCACCCTGCAGTCCATGTGGGTCCTAATGCCCCAGTATAGTGACGGGGACACTATACTGTATACAGGCGCCGTCCTTTGGATGAGACATAAGACCTAGGTCCTGACTCTCTGTGGTCATTAAAAATCCCAGGGTGTTTCTCGAAAAGAGAAGGGGTGTAACCCTGGTGTCCTGGCCAAATTTTCCGTTGGCCCTTGCCAATCATGGCCTCCTAATAATTCCCCTCTATGAATTGGCTTCATTACTCTGCTCTCTTCCCCACTGATAGCTGATGTGTGGTGAGCGTTCTGGCGCACTATGGCTGCCGTCTCATCATCCAGGTGGATGCTGCACATTGGTGGTGGTGGAGGGGAGTCCCCATTACCTGTAAAGTGCTTTGAGTGGAGTGTCCAGAAAAGCGCTATATAAGTGTAAGAAATTATTATTATTATTAATAGATCTAACAGGTGTGCACATTGCAGGACCTCATCTTCCCTGTGCAGTACAGGGGGTTGCTGCTGGACTGAAATAATTGATCAATTAAAAACTATAACTATTTATTACATTTAATGGGGTTCTAGTGACTTGGTCCTAAACACCAGCATTCATTCAGTGGAGTTCTGGTAACTGAAATAAATTGTTGTTCTGTCAGAATCAAATCTGAGAGGGTTCCCAGCTATGCAAACATTCAGTAACTGTTCATTGTTGTTCAGTGAAACGAAATAAGGAAGGACAGAGTAGTTACAGTCATTTAAGATGGCCCTTATATGGACATGTCTTGAACTAGTACTTCATGAATCAATAAAAGGCTGAATCATTGAACCCTGTAAAAATACAAGTGTTTGCTTTCCTTCAGTGCAAATTGGTCTGGATGATGGGACAAGGAAATAAGAAAAGAATGTAGTTTGTCTTGGATCATTTTGTAACTGACATCACAGGCAGGTGATTATAGATGTTATAAAAGGTCATTCTGATAACAGTTGTTATGAAATCTTTGTTTATTTAAAACATGAGGAAACTTTTTTAGAGTACCATTCACAGCTGATTTGTGTAGAAAAAAGCTTTTCAGAGTGAAAAGACTTGAGGATTTAGGAGGTGCTGACTACTTTAAACATCCCAGTGCATTGAAAGAATAAAGGTGTTAACCCTGGTACTCTGGCCACCCTTAAGTTTCCCCTTAATTCAACTGATTGGACAGTTTCTCACTCATGCAGTGTTGCATGATGGCTGCTATGCATCACCACACTGGAGCTGCATTTCAGTGGAGAATGTAATGGATCCTCTCCTGTGCATGAAGCACCTTGATATCCTTCGATGATGACAAACCCCATGTTTATGTGGTGAATTATCATTGCATTATTAATTAAGTTCATTCCTTAAACAGTTGGAGATCTCACAAAACCTGTAAACCATGAACAAGATTCTAATTCAATTCAATCGAACTTTCAATTCAGTAAAAACATTCAAATGTTTAATAAGTAAAAATATCCAAAACAAGCAGAAAGGTTAAAAGAAACCTCTTATGCAATTTAACAGGGTGATTCTGGATCAATGGGATAAATGACCTACACTTATCTGGAAGCCACAAGTGAATAAACATAGCAGATACCTCATATACAGGAGATAAGATATTTTATACATGACTGCCAGATGTTTACTGTTCTAAATGTAGAAAAATCCACAGCTGTTCATTGCATGACTTGCGTCATTTCCTTGCAAAAAATTATTACTTCAACAGGTGCCCTTTCTGAGGTCAGAACCCTTGTAAAATAATACTGCACTGGTAACCTTCCCTCTGCTTTCCAAACTCAACAGCAGCAGAAACCTTTCAGTATGTGCGTGCAACCTGTTAAAGGAGATGGCATGTTGGATTTAAATTCTTTAAAATTTGAAATAAAGTTTTTCCTTTTCAGAAAGAAATTGTAAGTACTTAATTTGTTTTTTTCTAGAGGGGGGTTAAGATTTTTTTCCAAGTGCAAGTGGAATCAGGCATGTGCAGCTGTTTTCTTTTAACATGTGAGAGAAAAGTGCAGGAAATTTTAAACCACAGCCAATCACCAGCAGGGCACCATTTATCTGCTGTGGTAAACAAGGCCATTAAATCCCGCTGAGAGCTAAACACATTTTCAAACATTTTTACAAAACTCCCTGAAGTCAATTACCATTTCTTTCAAAGGGCTCCATGCATTTACTTCTTGTATTCTGAAGCTTTTCAGTATTCTGTAAAGTAAAAAGGAGCATGACAAAAACATAATTTAACAATCTGCAGGTAATCTGTCAGAGGTGGTCTGTCAATCACTGGTAAATGTCACATTTTTTCAGAAATTGAAGAAATTCTAAAGAGAATATTAGAATTTTAGGTGTTGTCTAACAAGATGGACTGTGCTTCTCTACAATACTTTGTCCTTTTATGGTCAGAGCAGATTGCAGAGTTGCTATCCTGTCACCACTGTTGATACAGGCATCCCTCAGCTAACAGTTGCCCTGGGAAACTGTCACATTCTCACGAAGGTTTACTGTTTTTCAGGGCTAGCTGCACAAGCCGGACCTTCTTTTCACTGACTTAATTAATAATTATTCAATTTCCGGACATCCGAGCCCTCAATCACGTGTTCCACCATTCTCTGGTCTCTTGCACTTGGGTTCTGACACATCAACACCCTCGCAGCTATTACTGGCAGCGACATTACGGCATAACGGAGCCATTTATGAACCCAGCAAGGATCGGGGAAGGCCCGACTGACTGCTGCTTCTGGGTCTCCTCTCCTTTCTCACTTGGCTGTGGTGCCCTGTTTTCCTACCCTCCCCCCCTCCCTCCCTGGTTTTCGGTGAGCAGCACTGTTTCTTCTCTCGCATGTGGCAAGCTGGTTCTCTTCAGATCCATTTCCTTCTGTGAGCCCAGTGACTTTGTAGATCACAAGAGGACACTCCTGGTCCCAGAGCCAGTGCAGGTTTTCATTCCAACTGAATTCTTACCAAGATCAATTCGTTCTTGAGTGGCTTAATAAGGACCACTTTAACAGCTTCCCCTAGCTCTTCTGGTGCTGCTTCTCCAAAGAGACCTAGAAAGCCTGCAGACACACTGGCCCCCAGAACTAGAATTGCCCAGTCCTGTCCCCGATCAAGGAGTGGAGACAAAAATATGTCCCAGTCTCACCTGACTTTGACTAGTTCTTGGCAATAGTTTGACAATTTTATTTTATAGGGAGTTCCAGGAAAAAGACTCTTTGAAAACCTTCAGTTTTCCTGGGCATTCTAAGTTGTTAGCACTGTAAAAGAATTATCCCCTGCGTTTCATGTGTGTAAAAGCTACGATCCTTTCAATCTTGTTTGGTTTATTAATGATTGACTTTGATAGGAATATAGTCTGTTGCTCATTAAAATATATGTAAAATGAGAAATTTTTACAATGTTTGCTAACAGGAAAGCAATGCTTTATAATGCTTATATAAGAACTGTGCTTCCTAGTCCTTTACCAATTAAGGCTACTTACTGTAAGATAACTCTATAACTACAGCACTGAAAGATTGCAGATTTTTAGGTATTGAACAAATCTGATAGTTAGGATGCGTACCGAAATTAGGAACTGAAAGAGTTCAAATTAAACCCAGTATTAGGCCTATTAACGGTTCTATACTTTTACTGAGACCTCAGAATAAAACGCAGCAGGTGTGTGGGTTCCCAGGACCAGGGCTGGGAAACCTTGCTATAGACGTTTGTGGTGAACTGGTTCCTAACCTGGCAGGTGCAGGGTGCAAAGTGAGACTACACCCTAAAGAGGATGCCTGCCCTTTGGGGGGTACACATACACAAAGGGACAATTTGGTGACCCCTTTTTAACCTAACCAGCACTTTGAAACTTCCAAAGCCTTGAGAATATTAAAGCATGTGGAGAAGGCCCATTGGGGAGAACACGCACACTCCACATAGAAGAGTCTCCTGTCTGGAATAAAACGCAAGGACCAAGAGCTGCAAAGCAGCAGCTCTGTCACCCTACAAGCATGCCTTCCACATTTTTGTTCTTTTGCAGAAGAAGACAGTTTCATGATCTACGGCAGACAGACCTGGCCAAATTTCCCATTGGCCCTTACCAATCATGGCCTCCTAATAATCCCCATCTTTGAATTGGCTTCATTACTCTGCTCTCCTCCCCACTGACAGCTGATGTGTGGTGAGCGTTCTGGCGCACTATGGCTGCCGTCGCATCATCCAGGTGATGCTGCACATTGGTGGTGGTGGAGGGGAGTCCCCATTACCTGTAAAGCACTTTGAGTGGAGTGTCCAGACAAGCGCTATACTGTATAAGTGTAAGCAATTATTATTATTATTATTATTATTAATTACAAAACTTGAAGATACTCTAATAGCTAATTATCTGGCAGTTATTTTTGCATGATGCTTTTGGAGTGCACTTCTTACAGAGTCTGGACAGTCGACAATAGTGCATGGTAAAGAAGTGAACTCAGCGCATTCTGATTCAGGAGACTAATTCATCAGAAATAAGTGCTCGTGACAGCTCACATTTCAACTGGTCACAGCTGTTTCTCAGAGTGCAGCAGGTTTCATTGCTTTTTAATCAAAAAGGGATCAGGGGACATTGGCAACTATTTGGGCTTTTCTGTGCCTGCTGTGTCTCCAGGATCTTTAAATGTTTTAATGGGAAACAGTTGTTTGAACACTGACTTGGGGAGGGATGGTTGTTCTTTCTTGGTCCAGTTCTTTTGTATGGCTTTCAAGTACTGTGCTGAATGATGTTAGACGTCTGAACAGGGGGGAGAAGTCCTAGACATTTGAGAATGTATGAGCATGTTTCTTTAGTTCTCTGCAATGCCAATAATCTGATCCCATCTCACAGTCTGATGAAAGCTGTGCATTGCTGTAGCTGCTCTATATCCCATACTCCATTTTAGGCTAGAATTTAAACTAAAAAATGTTATTTCACACTTCTGAGTACTCCAATGCCAGAACATGGTCACAAAGACCATGCAAATAAAGAGATCTGTGTTTGACAAAAACTCAGAGATAAGGAACAGTAGGCAGGTGAAGATTTCCCTGAGCAAGAACCATGATTCCAAACAGCAAGCAGAATTTCTTTGACACTTCCATACAGCTAAAAGTTTGAAACAGATCCTCCTTGGTCCCAGCACTTGGAGAAAACCACTACACACCCAGAAGTGGCTACATTTAGGATAATCATTTACGAAATTCTTCACACTGTTGAGTTTTTTTTAATATCAGCGATGAAGACAACTTTTGCTTCCCTTGCTTTTGTAAGTGTGCAGGTACTATTCAGATCTCTAACAATGTTTGCTGATATTAATCTCAACACAAAGAGATTGGCGCTAGTTTGAGGTGTAACATTTCTCACACCTCTTTGAATCACAGCCTCACAGATTAGTTTTTCTTCACATCTATTTTACAGAGTGTTAGAACTCCAGACCGACGACCGATCAAATATTTTGAAGATGTGTTTTTCACCATGGTAACATCAATTTGTCCTAACAAATGTGGCAAGAGTAGGCTTGAGGTGGTGTAGGGTTAGGTGGTGACTATGTATTCTTAGTGATTTGTTTTACAAATGTTAGAGATAAACTAGTCCAGTGGTTCCCACCCCTGGTCAAAAAGGAACGCTGTTGGCTTTCATTCCAGTGCTTGAATTGATGCCTTAATTGATGTGCTTACTTGTTTAGACATATTCAAGGCGATTCTTTAGTGAATGTATCCATAAATTTCAATGAAAACTCGTCAAAGTTTAAAGTAAATCACCACTTCTAACTTTTATTAAATATTTACTGTTTTATCAGTGCAGTCGTTCACATCTAGTCTGCAACCTTGTTGCATTTCACGTTTTTTTGTTATTGTTCATAACTCATCGCAAACATGTATCGTAAAACAAAAGCCTAACATTTCAGCTGCAACATATCTATTCGGTTTTACTTGCACGTGTAGCAATCATGAACAAATATAATTTACGATAACGTATTTGAACAAGTCCAATTGTTCATATAATACTCCGTATTAATACTGTACATAACATATACCACTGTAGTTCTGGAACTACAGTTCCCAGAATTCATCTTACCGTACGTTTCTTCCGCGGTGCGTGAAGTAACGTATTTTGAATTTTTACTCGTTTGATGTTGTTTATGATTTTTCCTTGAAGTAAAGGTCAACATTGTTCTCATCTGTTCGCATTTACCATTCTAATCTTCTCATAAGATGAAATATATTTGGCAAGTATGTACTGTGGCGTGTACACTGACCTTTAAAATACGCTTCGATTTTTACTTTTGCGTCGTCTCTTCCAAAACACGTGTTCTTAACCAATAATTTAACTATGATTAGAAAATACTTTGAATATATTTGTATGAATCTTTATGTAAAGAAATTCACATTTTAATATATTTATTTAAATTATTTATTACATTTACAACAGTTCAAGTACTTCTATTGAAATGTCTTTTTATGGACCTTTTTACTTGGACTTGTTGACTTAAAATAGTTTTACTTTAATGTGTTTTTTTATCAAGTCCCTTGTTCTTATGTATAATGTCAAAATTAAAGTTTTTTCTTCTACCAGGTCGACTTCTTAGCGTGTTTTGTGGTTGCAGCAGTAACAAGCCGTTTCATTCTTAGCGTTACATCAGGTTTGTGAGCGAAATTGAAATTTCCTTCTTCCAGCAGTTACGTACAGTTATTGTAACGCTGAATCACTAATGCACTTGGATAAACTTCACTCTCTGTAAAATTAAAGTTATGATGTTGTACAAATCCTCGTCTGTTAAAGGCGTGATGTTTGTCGAGTTATATTGTTGTCAAATTGCAACATGTAAATTCACTAAATGGATTAAAGTGATGTCTGCAAGTTTAGCTTGCTTTCTTCTCAGATAACTAAATCTTAGGAAAGGTTATGGAAGAGTCTTTTCATGGGACAAAAAAGTAACATTTCTGAAGGATTCTTGTTGGATTTTTATCAATCTAAGGATTCTGAACTTGAAGCAAATTCAAAAGAAGTTTGGTGTACAATATTTTTTTTCTGGAATAATTTGTTTCTGAACACTTTGGTTACTTGAGGTGTTGTGTAGAACTGCATTTCCCCCTGTGTGTCCCTTTGTTTAATTTAGACTTGGAAAAAACACACTTTGAGTGTACCACTGAGGAACACAGCGACAGAATACGCCTGTACCTGGGGTTGGAAAATCTGGTAGGTGATTGTATCCAAGCCCAAATGCCAGATAAATTATATGTTGAAAGCAAGTGTTTTGTAGACGGTAAGTTGTATATTTTTATTGTTCGTAAGAGTGACTATTATAGGCTGTGGAATTACCAGTTATTTCTTATTGTTCACCTGTCCCATTCACAGCTTGTAGTTGTTGAGGTACTGGCAAGTGACGCATCTCAATCTGGACTAAGGTCATTTGTGGGGTTCTGTATGGATCAATTTTAGGACCACTTGTCTACTGAATCAGTGATAATAATGTTTAGATAGTGCCTTTTGTGATCCATTATCTCAAGGTGCTTTACAATAAGATATAGAGATATGTGTGAATGAATAGGAGTAATGTTATGCAGTTACGGAAAAGACAACTTTGTTACGTTTAAATGTAAGGCTTCTAAGATTAATTGATTCCAGGACCATCAATAGTAAAACTATGTTTTTAAAGTTTTTTTACCTGGACTTGTTAACTTACGTGTTTTACTTAATCTTTTATATTGAATCCCTTGTTTGTGTGTATAATAAGATATGTGCAGAGATGATAAGGAGAGATAAACAGCATGATTTTGGTTTTTATCAAAGTTCATCTGTGAAAAGTTTTGTTTTATACATTATTTGTATCATGTAAGTAGTGTAACAATGCAGATAGCGCTTGATTAACTTCATGTCTCATGAATATAATCGGTGTAGAAATGAAAGATGATGCCCTTACTACTAAGAATCAAACCCAATAGTAACATACTGTAAAGATTCTACATAGAATAGGACCAAATACAGAGGCCTGCAGAACACCACACATGACCAGCTTTGCTGAAGAGGAACAACTTTGCATATATTTCCGATTGTGTATTTTTGTCTTCCAGAAAATCAGTTGTTATTTGTATGATGACTCCTATAATTTGGAGCAGCAGAAGAGGCTATTAATGCTGTATACCTCAGCAGGACTGGCCCCTAGTATGGAGGTGTACAACAGGACTGACTCAAAGGTCTTCGCCTTTCAGATGAGTTTGGTGAGAACAGAACTTATTTCTAAACTTGTGCAGAAACCCAGTCACTCTGGGCAAAGTCTCCAGAGGTTCATTGCTGTTATTAAAACCACCTCTTTGGAGACCTGTGAAATGCCTCATCTTTTTTGTGAGCCTGCTTTCATTATCGCTTTACTGTGCAATTGTACAATCATGCAGTCACTGTGAGAGACTTTAGCCTAAAGTCTCATCTCCTCCATCAACAGCAATATAACAGTGTGTTCTGTATCACTCAATAAAGTCCTATTATCTGGTATAAATAATTTGATCGTAGAGTATTAGTTTTGTGGGCAGAGAAAGATAGGAGACGGCTATTGCTGTAACAGAATTTATCTTTTAGAAATGGAAAAGAAGGCATAATGGGGTGGCATGGTGGCGCAGTGTTTATTGCTACCTTGCAAGGCTGGGGTCTGGTTTTCAGTTCCTAGGGTGGTGTCTATGTGGAGTCTGCGTGTTCTCCCCGTGTTTGTTTCTTCCTGGTGCTTCCTGGTGCTTCTGTTTCCTTCCACAGTCCAAAGATGTGCTTGTAGATTGACTGGCTTCTGTAGAATTGGCCCTGAATGCGAGTGTGTGTCTGTCTGCCCTGTGATGGATTTGTGTCCCGTCCTGGGTGTATCCCGCCTTGCGCCCATTGCTTGCCGGGATTGTACTGGCTCCCTGACAACACTATATTGGCTAAAGACGTTTAGAAAATGGATGGATGGATTTTACATAATCCATTTCTTTTACATACAGTCAGTTCTTAATGTATAAGTCAGGGGGTGACTCCTCCATACATTACTGTGTAAAGCAGTTTTTCGTATCACATTTTATTCTGCTTTTTTATATTTTAGCTGCCTAATCAGTCCATATGGAGCATTGATATCCCTCGCAGAAACATCACTATTAATACAGGTAGTGTGTGCTTTGTAATGCAGCTGTGTTGAAGGAAAGTGTTTTCTGGCCTTTCTTCCTAACCCTGGTTCCTTTCTAACACTGTGTAGCTGTGGCTCCGGTGGACGAGTGGTACGTACGTTTCAGCATGCATCATGGGCTGAACATGTTTAGCACTGAAGGGACGCTACTGGACACTGTGAGAGGTAGGAGAGAATTGAGGGAGTGAAAAAGACTTCTGAATGTGGGAATTTAGGCTGGTAAAGAGATAGACGTATGATAAGAAATGTTGCGGTCTGTGAAAAAAGCATAAAAAAAGTGTTGTAGTGTTGCCTACATGCATATAGTGTCAAAGGTGAATATTGGTGAAGGATTGTGAACCATCAGGCTGGGTTGAAATCCTCAGGTCACAGCTGTTTTGTCTGTGAGTGGGATACTTCTATTAGCTGTCCAATAGAGTCCCACGATAACCAGGTTAACTTGTGATGGGATTGCTACTGTTACCTTCTTCTCACTTTATTCCTCCTAAACAGATTGGAGCGGGCTCGTGATGTACAGTAGCCTAACTGCCTGAAAATGATTAAAGGTGCTTTTCCCTTGGCAGAACCGCTCCTGCAGTGGACTATTGGAGAACAGATCCCCCCTCCCATCACTGCCACACTGATAAATCATGTGGTCGATCTCCGGGTCAGCAAGAATCCGTGTGCCAATGACGTGGCTTTGCTGGTGCCAGTATTTGCACCCAGCAAGTCGGCAGGTGAGGGATTTATTGGCAGGTGCAGCAGCCAGTCCTCTGCATTTGTTCTGCACAGAATGGTGACTTCCTCTGTACCAAACAATGAGGAGAATGGGGGACGTTGTTCTCCTTGTGTGTGATTTTGAATTTTTATGTAGTGAAGCCCGCTGAAGTGACTACAGTAAAGCCACTTGGCTGGAATAAAAGATCTTCATACTGCTGCCTGCCCTGCCTCTCAGAGAACCCAGCCCTTAATGACACTTAATGATACACCTTAGTGACGTAAGCAGAACCAAATTAAACGTTGTAAAGTAAGCATTACAGTTTCGGTTTTGCAAACTGCATCAGCAGTTTTGAATTGGCTGTGAGATTTGTACATCATGAAAACTTGTTCTGACATTTTTATAGTCGTACCCTCATTATAGAGGTTTATAATGTTTTATGTTGGTCATGTTGAGAAAGAGTTTTATATCCTTGGCCAGCAGCCATATCACCCTGCAACTCACAACTGGCAACCCACTGAAGCTGGAAGTGGTGTTAGTGGGGCCAGCAGGGGGTGCTCACCCTGCGGTCCATGTGGGTCCTAATGCCCCAGTATAGTGATGGGGACACTATACTGTAAACAGGTGCCGTCCCTTGGATGATACGTAAAACCGAGGTCCTGACTCTCTGTGGTCATTAAAAATCCCAGGGCGTTTCTCGAAAAGAGTAGGGGTGTAACCCCGGCGTCCTGGCCAAATTTCCCATTGGCCTTCACCAATCATGGCCATCTATGAATTGGCTTCATTACTCTGCTCTCCTCCCCACTGATAGCTGATGTATGGTGAGTGTTCTGGCGCACTATGGCTGCCGTCGCATCATCCAGGTGGATGTTGCACATTGGTGGTGGTGGAGGGGAGTCCCCATTACCTGTAAAGCGCTTTGAGTGGAGTGTCCAGAAAAGCGCTATATAAGTGTAAGAAATTATTATTATTATTATTATTATTATTATTATTATTATTATTAATATTATTATTGGTGTTTTCCCCATTACTTGTTGTATTACTGTACTCATTATGTGAGGTTCTCTGTTCTTCAGCCCCTGAAAGGACTGTGCAGACTGCTTCAGTGTGCAGGGGAATACAGTCACACCATTTTTATTCTTTTGGGAAAGATTGCTGATTACCTGCCCTTGTTATTCCCTGCCTCTATGCTTTGATAAAACATTTTGAGAATTTGAGTATTTGGGAAATGCATTCATACATGTGTTGATAAAATATGGCCTACAATGTGATACAAAACAAGAAATTAGTTAGTCAGGTTTGCAAAGTGCAAGAATGTATTGATAAAGCAGAGCTGTCCTGTTCAGAATATTAGATTTCAGTTAACTCTTTTCTTGCCATTGCTTTCATAGTCTCAAAATGTAAACTGTATTTGCTGTACCAGGGTTCCTCTAAAATGGTCCTTGGAGTTCCTCAAGGCATCCTTTCAAAACTAATTTTGATAGTGCACATGTAACAATAAGATCTTCCTTTATTTTAACATACGTGCATTGCATTTTTATGCAATATGAAGAGCTTGGGATTTAAAAATTAACACCCAACTGCTGGTTGGGACGAAAAGGTACTAGGGTGTTCTCAAGGGACTGGACAACGCAAATATCCTGGGAAGGGTGAACTATCCAGCCATCTACTTTGGTTTTGCACTGAGGAATCACAGTGGTGGCAGCAGAGCAAGGAAGTTAAAAAGGAGGACCGATGCAGATGTCTGTAATAATGCCTAATAATAATGTAATAGTAATGTAAGATGCCTGACATTCCAAAGGAGAAGCTAGTTAAGGAAACCTGGACTCTCCGACCGGGCTGTGCTTGACCAGATGTGTGTCACCACTATGGTGATCTAGGTGAACTTTGCCTGGTGACATAGCAACTCTCCAAACTGAAGGGCTCAGCATGAGTTATGAATAAGCACTTTTGTTCCTTCAGGAACAAAATGTTTCTTGGAAGGTTACAGGTCTGTTTGTGAAAACTTTCTCAAAATAAGACAATATCATGGAAATATCCAGCGCCTGGTTTTGAATTATAGAAGCTGTTGAAAACTGGATCACTGCTGTGAAAATGGGGGTTGCTTTCCTTTATTCAAGAAAGCAAGCAAACTTCACTAACCAGCCTATTACAATGTTTGCAGAGCTATAGATCGGTTGAACTTTCGTGAACCCTGAGTTTGGGCCAAATGCCTTCCTACAGTACAGCTGGCATTGTTTACCTGAACTGGAAAAAGTTTCCTCCAAGACGTCATAGCCTTTTCCAGCTGTGATTGAAGGGCCTGCACAGGGTTGTTTGTACTAATAGGTGTAATGAAAAGTGATCTTTGCCCTGGTTATTCTCAGTCAGAAGATATTCTAAACCAATATTGGAGTATTTGTCCATTTTCTGTTCTGGGTGGTTATATAAGCAGCTTATCTGGGTTAAGATAAGTTCAAGTCAATCATATACATCCTGTTGGAAAAGATACAGGTTGAATGACAGATTCACAACCATGTTGAGCATGTGAACAACATAAGTTCTGTGCATAAAGTACAGTACCCATTGAGCTTGTCTTTTACATCCTCGTTAACAAAGTAGCAAACTGAATACCCTTAGGACAGGAGCTTGCAAATGCTACCATCACCTTAAAAGTGGGAGGTTTAATCCTTGTTAAGGGCGTTTGCTAAGCAAATAAAAAATTCATAGCAAGGCTGAGTCTGACCTGCGTTACTTGAGGTCTTGCTGGTCTGTGCGTAAAAAAATTCCCTGAGCAGACACACCTCTGCCTGAGACTTGTGTGGGTTGGGTGTGCTTTCTTGCAACAGCGCCCCCTGCCACTCACTATGTGCCATGTGCTGGGGGAGGCCTGTCCAGGGCTCGGTGTGCCAGGGGCACTGAAGTCTCCACGGTGAGAGACATCTGTCACTGCCGACATCGCACGTAACGGAGGCACACAGTCTGTTCCCTGGGCTAGTACGAGGGCTGTAGGATTGCAGGTTGATGCACATTTGTTGATTGTGTGTTCGGATAATTTCCGAGATCCAAAAATGTTCATTTTAAAAAGCCAAAGAGGGAAGAGTTTTTGATTCTAAGTGAAAAGTTTACGTACATTATAGTGCCTTGTGGTATTCCACCCATCTGTCAATGATGTCCCATGTTGTTGAATTACAAATGATAAATATACATTTATTTCAAGTATCGTATTTTTAATCAAAAAGTGAAAACTATTATGGACACAAACTTCAATGTCAGCTAAAACTCCAAATGAAAATCTAAAATATTAATGTTGATTGCATAAGTATTCACTCCACTTTGCAATCAACATTATTTGTTTTAGCTTAGTGATTATTAGAGTTGTGAGTCTTTTTGGATGACTCTTGACCAGTTCTGCACATTGGGGTCTCTAACCTTGCCTGTTGGTGAGATCTCGTTGATGGACAGTTGTTTAGGAGATAGTAAGTTTGGAGCCACAGATCACATGAGATGTCATTTCTAGATGGATGTATTCTATATAAGTACACTTCAGTTTAAACTGATATTTTGTTTCCAATTTCTAATTCATGATGCTAGAGCTTGAGTAATTGATGTCAACACAGAGATGTAGAAAGAACTTTTAAAACAATTTTAATTTATAGAAGGGGCTTTTCCCAACCTGAATGGGTAACTTAAAGAAAAAAAAAAGGGAGCGTGGGACAGTTTTTAGCTGCCAGTCAGTTCTGGCGCAAACACCACAAAGTTTACTGCATTTTCTTCAGTGTCAAGTCGTTGCCTTGGAAACCTCACACTTTCCCCCATTCCCCCCCTGAAAATAACTGCCCCCCCCTCCCCCAATTCCCGACAGGTCTCCCTGCCACATCTTGGGTGAGGAAACGATGACCGCAACAAAAGCATGGAAATGTAGACTCATCTGTTTTTATTATATCATTCTAGGTGTTATTCTTACTGTAACCAGATCTGGATTCACATCCTCTAATAACCGCTGGTTTAACTGTACAAAGAAGCTGTGTCAACTGTTAAATGGAGGTATGTTTTTTTTTTTTTAATCTGGTGCTGTGCTAAAATCAAATAATGGTCAATGTGAAAGGGAATTTCTGAAGGCTTGCTTACTCTAGTGTTCACTGATTACATGTCACACCAGTATTGTAAAGAAAGCTTGCACCAATTGAAAAACGTTGGTGTCTCTCAACCAATTCTACCACAGTTTTAATGAGCCATTATTGACAGGCTCTATAACTGGCTGACTGCCTCTGTAGCGGGTCTGGCAAGGCGTTTCTCTACTCCAAAGGCCAGCTGCAGTGTATTGCTTACTCTGCAGGGAGGATCAGTGCCCTCCATTGATGATTTGTACAATTCCAGAGCAAAAAAGTGAGCAGGAAAAATTGCTGATGACTGCCTCCCACGCAGGTTGCCACCCGTTTCATAAACTTTCCTCAAGACGTTTGCCAGCAGCTAGTGTGTATCACCCTGCAATTCATACCTGGCAGCCCACTGAAGCTGAGCAGGTGTGAGCCTGGTTAGTACCTGGATGGGAGACCTCCTGGGAAAGCTATGGTTGCTGGTAAAATTTTCCCCTGGCCTTTACCAATCGTGTGATCTTCATCAGCTTCATCACTCTGTTCTCCTTCCCAATGATAGCTGGTGTGTGATGAGCTTACTGGCACACTATGGCTGCTATCACCATCATCCAGGTGGGGCTGCACATTGGTGGTGGTGGAGGGGAGTCCCCATTACCTGTAAAGCGCTTTGAGTGGAATGCCCAGAAAAGTGCTGATAACTGTTGATATTTATTATTAAGAAGACACTACTGGGCTATTAAAACCAGAACCACCTGGTATATGAACAGCTTCTTTCCTAATCTTTTTGCCTTACCAGAATTCCTAGTTATACAGAATGTGCTATTATACCTAATGTGGTCTATTGTCTTGTTTGTGTATGGTATATGTAGAATGTTTTTGCAGCATCAGGTGCACCAAAGTAAAATTCCTTGTACATGAAATGTACTTGGAGAATGAAGGCGATACTGATTTTGAATTGTATCTTGAGTTATTTTTTAGTGTTTCTAGAGAATTGTAAATGCCCACACATTTGTTAGAAATAAGCAGTTGTTTTTCTGTCTGATATATAAATAGGCTACCCTCAGTGTAGTGAGCTTGCTAAAGAGTGAGTGTATTAGATGCTTCCTGAGTGAATATCACAATTTTCCAGTGAGCAGACTTTTTAAATTAAGGGTGTATTTGCAACAACAGTCATCTCTGTGTACTGAAGCTGCAGTGACACCTAGTGTTCAACAGGTGGGATCAGCAGCACCTTGTGGTCTGATCTTGTCAGGTCTCAATGGCTAAGCAAAGCTGGTCAGTCCTGGGAAGGAGCACCTCTAAGGATAACCAGTTTGCTCCTGTAAGGGGTACCCATGGACTGATAGGAGGCAGTTACCTCTGTGGACCAAATTCTCCAACCCAGTACCCCAGGGTAACCAGGAACACTGTGGTGTAGGAGGAGGTATAAAATCAAGGTCCTGACTTCAGGGTTGCTAAAGATCCCATGGCAGCAATGCTAACCACTGCAGGACCGTGCTGCCCCCTATACAAACATCTAAAAGTAAAATGTACAGTATTTGCTTAGATTGTGTCCTCCCTGCTCTATTCATCTGCGGCTCATGAAGCACTGTTGTCCTTGTGTTTCAGACTGCATCGGGCTTGCCACTGTCGATGTGAAGCTGACAAACTACTACTTGTTCCTCTTAACTACTAAAGGGCTATTCCTGAGTCAGGATATGACTTCCCAAGGAACAGGATCTCTGAATGTATGCAAATGGATTTTAAAAAGTGTTGGGTGTTTTCCTACTCCTTGGCGATGTACTGTACCTACTGTACAACCTACTATAATACAAACTTTCTCTGATGTACTAGTTGGATTTTTCTTTCAGAATGTAAATTTTCATGCTTGCTGGACAATGGTTTTGTTAGGAAATGCATTTTAGTTTCTAAAATAATTTGTGTTGTACATAAAAAAATGCTAATGATTTCTTTTCACTTACAGTTTACATTACTGGATATTTCCAGTTTAACACAGGTGAGTAAATAAAAGATCTTGAGTCATGATTGTAACAGTTATGGTTAAATTCTTTACTAGGAAGACATCACGTTTTTGTTCACTGGCACATTTCTCCTGATTTTGGTTTTGTTGTTGCATTTTTCAAATAGTGTAAATTTTATTCTGGAATTTAAAAGAAACCAGATTCAGTATTGAATGCTGTGAGTAATATACCCTTGCTTTAATATTTTTCAAACACAGAAGTGTAGAGTTGTGGTTAGGGCTCTGGACTGAATTTACAGGATGTGGATTCAGACCCTGGTGGGGCAGTGCTGTTGTGTTTTTGATTTCACTCACATTGCTTCCGTAAAATGCCCAGATGTATGAATGAATGAAGAGTATAAAGCAACCAAAATTAATAACAATTACAGTTTTAAAACAATTTAAATGGTTATTTATTGAAACAATTGTTATTTTTTTTGTTTGTTTAGATGGATTATTCCAGCACTACACTGTGGTACTCACATCACTGTTTACACGACAAGGCAAATTTTCAAGGTAGTTTTTACAGTTTACAAAGGATTTTTAATTCTCAACTTCAGTTTTACATTGCTGATCATTGGAGGTGTGATATGAGCCTATAATTGTCTGTTTCACCATTCGATCTCTGCTTGTTCTAGTTCTTACTTACTCTTCAGGCTACTGCAATACATGTGAGTTGTTTTGGTGGCATTTTTGTGTACAAAGTGGTAACATAGGGTACATTGTTCTACACAGAGTGGTACGTGAGTATGTAAGGCATAGAAGTAGGAAATTAATAGGTCAGTCATCTTATTACAAAGTGTAGTTGAAACAGTGTAATAATGGACTTAATTCTACTGGTGCATATTTGATAATGTATCTTCTGACCTTGTTCTGTCTTCAGATGATTATGTAAGTCTGATATCAAGTGGGACTGATGTGGAAAACAAGGTAAGTGGATTTTCAGTTTTTACCAAAATGTTTCATTTACTCTCGCAATTCGTGTTGTGTGTAGTGTACCTGCGATGCAATGTTACTGATGAGTTTAATACATCAACCTTCTGTGGGTCTTGATTAAGTAGATACAATGAAATTCTTTCACTGCTGTACTATTCAGGATTCAGTGGAAACTGCAAGCACAGTTTATATTCAGTTTCATTGAATTGTTTCATTGAAACTCAAGGGATGGACCAGTGAGAGCATTTAACAAGCCAGAATTAACAAGGCAAAAGGAGTGCTGTATTTTTAAAACTTAGAATGAATTCCCAGGATTTTCTTACTCACAGTTACATCTGAAAGCTATGTGGACATATTCTGTTTTTTTTTCCTTCTGTAGGCATCTCAGTGTTTATACAGCAGAGACCCTTTTACAGAGTGGCACAGCTGCGATATTTCCAACATGACTTCACATAGACATGTGTCCTTCATTTATGACGGACAGCAGCATACTGGAATTGTTTTGTCCTATACCCAGGTATGGATTATCCATCTTTTTGACCTCTTTAAATCTATTTGTCTGCTGCGGACTAAAGGTGTCTTGCCTGCTTTTTGTTCTCGCAGGAAAAGGGTGCAAAGGTCTCAGTTTTTGGAATGAGGGGTCCAGTGCTGAAGAAGAAGGCCAGATTTCCTCCGGTCCGATTGAATTTCATTTCCCATGGGATGTTATTCCATCCAAATAGCCACGAGCTGTACCTATATGGATCAGAGGTAATTTTCAGAATCATGAATGAATCATGACCCACAAGGCACATGTGAAAACTATAGTGGAAGTGCATTTACAACTGAGACATGGAGGTTCTTTACATAAAGGGTTATGGGTGTGTGGAACAAGCTACTTATGTTGTTAAAACTGATGCCCTGGTTTCTTTCAAGAAACAGCGGGTTGGGATCCTTGGATCCATACAGGCTAAACGGGCCGAATGGCCCACTTGTTGGCAACATTTCTCATGTAACTCATGTAGCTATTGATATACTGGTGCAGTGCAGGATCTGTGAGGTCTGAGTGAAAACTGCAGCTGGGTTGCTTATGTTGCTCTGCAATGGACTGGCATCCTGTCCAGGGTGTGGTCCTGCCTACCTGCCCTGCTCTGACTCACCAACACTCTCTAAGGGATTGAAGATGGATGGATGGCTTTCTGAGTATTATAATAATACTATATTATAATGACAAGTGATATCCTGTTCACATGCTTGCGTGTCTATTTACATTAGCCTAAAATTTGTTTAGGCTAGTAAAGAGAGTGCAAGGTTTTGGAATGGGACTAAGGGTAATGTTATTATAGGTTCTTCTTAATTGTGGATTCTCGTTTACAATAGATAGCATATATTAATTTGCTCTAAGCATGAAGGGAGCCAAGCTCGACCACCAGGTTCTACTTCATTAGAGGGGAACTGCAGTCCCAATTTCTCAGAACAGTTATTAATGTAATAAGGCCACAACGCATCACAAGAAGTTTTGTTGCCTCATTCTGAATCTCAGAATTTGGTGCTCTGCATACCTGGAAATTTTATCCGTATTGTGATGTACACAGTTACTTACATTTATTTTATTGTGGTTTGAAATGCACTCATCAGTAGTGGTTCTTTCTAATTTCGAAATATAAAAATAGTTTTGTGGTTCGGCATGTTTCAAGAATTGGCTCAGTTACAGAGTTGGCCCATTTCAAGATTTCAGTTGATCTCGTCATTTACAAAGGAAAGGACTTGTTTCTATAGGACAAGCACTCTGCAGCGATGCCGTAAGATCTGTAGTCCTTTCTTGAATGTTTTAACAAGATTTGGCTGTGTTACTTATCCCTGATTGTTTTTCTTTATACTTGCATGAACTGTAAAATGTTTGAGCTCTTTGTTCATTGATTGGCTGTCTTTTGTTGTTTTGTTGTATGCCTGTTTCTTAATTTTTCTGTTTTATTACAATTTTTGAAGCTTCTTAAATAAAATACTTATAATTTTACAGTTTAGTTCACATTTGAGATTAATTTATCTTTTTGCACATATTTATAAATGTGATTTTCATCCTAAAATTTGCATTTTATCCTTACGTTACTTTTTCTAGTAATTCAATCTGGAATGTATTTGTGGGCACTAAGTACAAATGGAAGTACCTGTATAATTTTCACTCTATGTGTCTGTACTTGCTCTTCTTGAAAACTCAGTGTGCTGTATTTGGCTTACCTCTAGTGGCCAAATGGTGTTAGCAGAGAACAGAAGGTGCTGTTAATTCTTACACGGTCTGTTTCAGTAAAGTAAAATGAAAAGGCCATTGACAAAACATTTTGATACAGTACAGGGGTCCTTCAGTAAACTGGCATTATTAATTAATTACCATTATGCAGTATTATTAGGAAGGCAAGTCGCACCAAAAGGACTTTGCTCTTCTTATTCATTGTCAGTTTCATCACTGTTTTGCTTCATGTACAAGAAGGCATGTGTTTTGGCTTTTGATTGTTTACCCTGCCCTCCTCAAGTCATTTATGCTGATTGTTTGGAAGGACACGTTATGTCAAAGCAAGAATAAGGCAAACCTGAATTGGGCTACCTGAACAAATAGCACTTTCGATTGTTTTAAAAGTTTTAAATTACATTTAAAGCTTGACAAACCTGTTCTCTCTCACAGTATTTTACCCCAGAATTGTGGCAACACTAGCAAAGCTGATGTTGTGAGTAGAGGCCCCAGAGAAAAGATGTGTATTTTCACATTTTACTCAGGTGTGGTCCTCAGCAGATGGAGGGTCTTCTTTCAGCAGGATCATCACTCTGGAAGGTGAATCGGTTGTTAATGCTGTCAGCTGCATTCATGACCAGACAGTGGTGTTTGTCACAAACCTTGGCAGCATCTACTTGAGCAAGGCAGGTAACTAATTTAGGACTGAATGCTAAATAACTAGAAATATGACATTAGAAACCTCCCTACTCACCCTCTTTGCTCCTCTTTCCTTATAAAGGTGTCTTTTGCACATGTGATCAGTTAAGATCTTAGCCTGGTTGAAAGATAGTGAGCTTTGTTTTTGCAGACATGGGGAGGTATGTCAAACTGAATCAGTCACAACACGGCGTCTCCACTTTGTACTGCGATCACCTGGGCTCCTTAATCATCCTGTCTTTACATGCGCAGAGTCCCAATGGTTTGAATGTAGACAATATTCCGACCACTTCCTTGATACAGGTGAGACAGATTTCCTGTAGGAAGCATGCTGTGAGTTTGTACTGTGTAGTGACTAGTGACAAGTTGTGCTTTCCTCTGGGTGTGGTATTTGAAAAAAAAGTTTCAAATCACATCATGAATAGGTAAGACATTCAAGGACATAGCCACTCTGAAGGAAAATATGAACACATCCACTCTAGAGAAAAAGAATAAGTATTGCCTGACTGTTACGGTATATACGAGAGCTGAACTTCTGTTGTCATCCTTACTAAGTGATGCAGACCACAGCAGAAGTGATGCTTATGCTTAAATTATTTTTTCTTGGTAGTGACTTTAAATATAGATCATAGTCTGGAAACCAGGTGCATTATTGCATTTATATATTTTTTAACATTGACCTCCAGAATTGACATTTTTACTCTGTTTTGCTTTTTTCATTAGCATGATGACCAGAGCTCTGAAGGGGCTCTTGCTCTGCAGTACACGAGTGACAAGACAGTGCTATTTCATGAGCACCTCCCACTAAGCAGCCCCTCCCTGGTAACTGGACCCAGTCTGTTCTCCCCCTCTCACGTTGGCAAAGTCATCAGGTTAAGGTAATTGGTCTGTCATCTTTTCTGGCTGCAGTATGGCACACTGTATGAGAAAGAATGTATTTAAAGGAGAACTGCAGTCCCAGTTTCTCAGACCTGTTATTAAACTTCAGTTAGAAATTATTTGACGTAATAGAAAAATGTGGCAAATTTCAAACTAAATCGTGAACTTTATGAGAGTAGTATAAATCGCCATGTTGTCTCAAACTCACATTCGAGTTCCCACAAATTCTAACATGAAACGGCCCTTCCTGCTCAATAGTCACTGTAATGACTTATGTGATTAGGTGTACAAGCGAATAAGTACAGGCTCTGCTGCAGACATTTCACCACAGAAATATTCAGTGTGATCTCTGTAGGCAGAGTTAACAAGTAGTTGAAATCGAGAGCAATATTTCTATTGGATTAAAAGAGATGTATTCACCACCCTGCTTCCTTACAGTGTAATAAGGCTGTATCCCACCACTGGAAGTTTTGTTGCCTTGTTCTGAATTATAGAATATGGCGCTGCACATGTTATCTTTTTTGTGATGTAAATTGGAGGTTAATGTGTACATTTTACTTTTATTGTGTATTGAAAAGCACTTATCAATGCTGATTCTTTCCTTCTCCAAAATATAACAATTGCGTTGCAGTTTTGCTTTAAGACCCACAGAGTTGTTCTGAAGTCCCCTGTATGCCACTTGAATACACAATAATTCTCCTTGCTTTTCTCCTGGGTGATGAACCCAAGTGTGTAAGGCTCAGGGTACAATGAGATCCCTACCCAGTGATCAAGGTCAGATCCCAGGGGAAAGAAATGCTTAGTGTACTATATAGACCTATGTAATCAGACTAGGTATTAATGGCTATGATCCCAGAGTGGATGGTTTCTAGTTGAGTCTCTGAAGGGGATGATCAAAAATCAGACTACTTTGTCTCTTTATAGTCGTCCTCCATTTGTGCTGTGCTGCACCTTTGACGGAGCTGTTTTTCAGCCGCCACTTCCGGTATGCATAAGAGCAGGTCTTCTGTAAAAGAGAAAAATCTACAGTGGATAACTACGCTCTGGTCAAGCCCATGTGCGGACAAAAAACATGGTGTCTTTATTCTCATCCCCTTGCTGGGTTTTAGCACTAATCACTGAAAGCCCTGTCATTTCAGCACTGGAGGATCAGGAGTGATAACACAAGTGTATCGGAGACGCACTGCAGAAGGGTTTGTGGCTGTAGCCGTGGCAGAGATATTGGAGGGTTTCAAAGGTGAAAGGCTAACTACAGAACCCATCCAGAGGTGCAGGCTAACTGTTAGCAAAGGACCAAATGCCATTCTGCGGTTAGAGGATCCCTGTAAGTAAGGCAGGATAGCACTAATGGGTCTACTGAGCTCATGACTTGGGTCATCCAAGACCAGTTGAATGTCTTTGTTATCCCACAATTCCAGCACCACACTCGTTTTTTACAAAGGATTTTTAGTCCTGCCACAGAGAAGCAGCAGTTAGGGAATGAATGATAGTTACAATTCTGAGTATATGAACTAATAATGGGTGGAAAGTTTCTTCTTGGGATATTTCTTAATATTTTTATCATGTTTATTTCCTGTGCTTTAGAATTGTTTTACTGCATTCTGTGCAGTGTTTTTTTTCCCTTTCAGCAGTAACTACAGAAATATTCTAAATTGAGGCGTAAGCGTTTCATGTGCTTATGCTCCCTCATGTACCTTGACCACTTGTGACTATCTTAGAGGTTTGCCAATTCTCGTGACTTTACTTATGTTTTGACAGCATTCTCTCCAGGATTTCAGGACACACACATTGGAAAGACGGTGGTGATTCCTGGCTCCAGCAGCTATTTAATCACCGGGGTTTTTGACAGCAGGGCAGCTTTGGCACTGCCCACCTTGCCCACAATAGTGCCCTTTAACAAGACCTACAGCCCTGGAGAGTGGCTGCTGTTTAATGCGATGAACAGAGGCGCATGGAAGATGATGGAGGGAGAGTGTAGACATACGCTTCAGTCTCTCAACAATTTACGGACAAACTCACTTGTGTACATCAACCTCAAGGAGGAACTCACTTTCAGCTTCAAGGCATCTGTTTTTGGTTCTCGTGAGTCACCGTAAACCCATTTCATTCCTTTGACCCAAGCATACAAAACAGACAGGTCACGCAGGTTATTTAGTTTCTTTAATAAAATATCTTATTTTAAAGGAGCTGTGTCTTTGACACCTTCTGTGTGTATTTTGTATTTTTATTGATGTGGTTGAGAAAACTCTTTCAAGTTGGATTATTTCAGGTGTTGCACAGTTTTAAAATCTGTTTCTTCTTACATTAACAGAAACTTTGGTTTTTCATAAGAAGCTGATGAAATTTACTATAGGGAATCCTTCGCTTCTGAAAGTGACAACTGCTCATAGCTGGGACAGGGCAAACAACCACATCCTGAACATCACTGCCTTCAGCAATTTTTTTCAAAAGGTGAAGTAGCCCCTTTCGCTCTAATGAGATCCAAATGCTGCTTCATATCAAGAACCTGATTATGAGGAGATCTGCGATATATTAAAATAATTACCTGCCCCCTCTGGTGAAATAATTACCTGCCTTTTGGAGTTATCCATTTTTTTCCCTTGATTAAATATCACCCTTTCCTTCAGGCATGTTCCAAAGGCCCTGCGTGACATGCAAGCCAGGGGTGCCAGGTACTGCTGTGTTTGGGTCTCCACCGATTTCTGCTTTGTGTTGTGCGTCATATGATCTGTGGCTCTGATTAATAAAGCAGAGTTCATTTCTTTCTCACTCCCTCAGCCTTCCTGGTAGGAGAGGGGATGCTGTAATCTTAGTTCTGTTCTGTGTTGTTCTCTTTGACAGGGGCAGACGACGGTGATAGTGAGCATCCCAGAGGCCTCTCTTCTGTGCACCTCCACCCCTTTTGTTTTCACTCTGCAGAACTCCTGTCCCACAGGCCTGCGCATCAGGTACATTCCGGACCAGGTCATTAGTGCACATGACTGGCTGCATGGTGACCCCAGGGACTCAAAGGGCGTTAAGAGATTGATTGATCTTCCGGTAAGTTCGGGGCCCCTTAGAAGGACACTGCAACACTATTTTTATATTTCGGGGTTAGAAAGAATCAGCATTGATGAACATATTTTAAACCACAATAAACATATAATAATGTACACGTTAACTTGTAAAACCATGTTCTGCGACTGGTTTCACATCACAGTCCGTGGGAACTCGAATGCGAGTTTGCGACTTACTGTACTTTCACAAGGCTCACGATTTTGTGCTTAATTAAAAATTTGTAATTTTTTTGTATAATGGCAATGAATTAATTTTGTTACCAAGAGTCAATAACTGGTCTGAAAATTGGGACTGCGTTTCCGCTTTAATTAGAGAGCTGTCAGTAAGGAACTGTTTAGTTTTACACACTTTTTTCCATTTGTTTTAGTAGGTCTCCACTCAGCATATTTAAAGTATTTTCAGTAGTTTATTATTAGTTAGGACTGACATGGTCTTTCAGCCATTTACAGGTTGTATGCCAATATTTTGTATCTATGCATTACCATGGCACAATAAACTGTGCCCCCTTCAATTGAAGCTGAGCTGTTTACAGAACAGTACAGTGTGTAAATGGTTATCTCACTTTGGAATGCTGTTGAAATGCAGTAGGTCTTCATGTTAGTTTTCATTAGAACAGAAAAATGGTCTGGTATTTGGCCTCATCTTCGTGGCAGCGAATCTAAAATCTTGCTCAGCCATGTCTTAAAGGGGTTGGGCCTCATCCACCTGACTGGAAAGCCTGTTCCAGACATCCTCCACTCTTTGGGTAAAAAAGAAGTGTTTCATATTCTGTGTCTTAAATTAATTGCCCTTCATTTTCCAATTGTGATCTTGTGTCCTTGTTCCACTACAAAATGTGAAGCAATCTATAGTCTATAAGTAATAGATATAGTATCTTTTCTGTGGTATGCTGAACCATATTGAACACAATATTCTACTGTAAATGGGGCAAACATACAGACTTTCTGTCTTACTTTTTTTATGAATCCATACTCTTGGTTTCCTGCGCTCAGAGCCTATAGCCTAGCTTCATGGGGCCTGATGTGGATGCTCATTCTCATTGGCATATTCCTGTGTGCTAGGTTAACTACAGGCCTCCATCCCAGCTGGGGATTGCCATCCCTGTTTCTGACAATATCTATAACGCCGATCCCAGCCGTCCGCGCCCAAGGGAATTCTACCAGATCTCCAAGGTGAAGAAAGAGGCGCCGATTTGTTTCCAGGATTAATTCATTTCTTTCCCCTTTAGTTTTGCTCCAGCTTTCAGTGATCCTGTTGCGTAGCTCCTTCCAGCCCAGGACTGTACAGAATGTATAGTAGGGGGTCTTAAACCAAGGTCCCAAAGACCAGATAGTTGCAGATAGTCTTACAGATCGCCCTAAATACCTATGTTTTGAAATTAGAAACACTGAAAGGTATTTATCAGTAAAGCTGTAAATTGTTCAGTTGAGGAAACTCTGGTTCTTAAGACCTTAGAATTCTGATCTTGTCCCACATTGTCTCTAAACCTCAACAAATCATCTGTTTAGTTAAGCACAGTTAAACTGTTCCAGGCATTAAAAATCAGTGATTTAATGACATGCTGGACTGTCTTTATTCACCTTGGAAATGGACTTGTATAAGCTGGATCTGCAGCAGAAGATTTGCTGCTTTAGGTGTCATTTAAACCTCTTAGCCCTGAAGTAAGATTCAAGTCTTCCTGCTCCTTATTAAGACATGTTAACGTTGTTTAGATTTCAAGATTGACTTGCCCAGTCTAAGATCTTCCACTCTTTTCCCTTGATAAACTCTTGAGTTGTGTCAACCAGTGTTTTGGGACATTGTCTTGCTGAATCGCCGGCCAAAGAGCCAGGAGGTAATTCTTGTATGTAGGTACTGTAGATAAGATGTTTCTGTATACTTCTGACGTCATTCTGCTGCTCCAAGCGTTAGTTGCATCATCAGTAATGAGCCAGTTCTAGAGGCAGACATGCATGCCCGGTCCATGACCATACCTCGACCATGTTTCACAGATGAAGTGGTCTGCTTTGGATTGTCCGCAGTTTGTTCCTTTCTCTACTTCCCCTTGCCTTTGGTGGAGGTTTAGCTTTGTCTCTTTTGATCTTAACATTTTGTTCCAGAACTCTGCTGGCTCATCTCTTTTTAGCACATTGTAATCTGGCCTTTCTGTTTCTGGTGCTGATGAGAGGTTTGCATCTTGTGGTGTAACCTTTATAATTCTGCCGTTGTGGGTGATTTCAGTGACATTGTGTTGTGGGTGATTTCAGTAACAGTTGTTTTAGAGTTTTTCTTCACGTCTCGGGTCATTTTTTATCATCATCTGCAGTTGTTTTCCTCAGATGATCGGGTCATTGACAGTTGATAAAAACACCAGTGGTTTCTTTCTTTTTCAGGATATTTCAGGATAAATTGTTGATTTTGCTATAGTATGTCCAGTTTCTCTGCCATGGTTCTGAATTAATTATTCAGCCAGATTGCTTGTTTTTCTATCATAGACAGTTCTCTAGTCTTCATGTATGTTTAAGCCTCTAAAGGCAGACACCAAAGGGAAGAGCAAAGGCTAAATCCAAAACACATTCACTGCTCTTTTACAGTATGTGTGCTCAACATACTCAGTGCAACAGGAAACACCTGACCAATAATAAACACTTGGCAGCCAATTGTGCCAATGCTTATACTCACCTGCAATTAGAGGATTGAACATAAAAAGTGCTGTTATTCTAACAAGGTAGGACTTATAAACACAGAAATACCCAGCAATAAAAGGTGACATTCTGTACTTTTGTCTTGTATTCATCTTTTAATATCAAATCAAAAATAGCAATTGTGACTTCACTGTCCCTATACGGATGGTACTGTATAAGCAAGATCGATTAAAATGGGTAAGGCAAGAGGGTTGATAAATAGTAATTAGAGAGCACTAGAAAATAACAAGCTGAAGGCTTGTGTTCTTTATATAGTAGAAATATTCAAAACCAGTCCTTCTGCAGTAGCTAGTGTTATTTGATTGAATCCCTAATAGCTAAACTCCACCACTAATGTTTCTTTTGTTAATACTTCTCCATATATGATTTGTGTTGTACAAAGGTGAGACAATTTTTACAGCACAAGTACCACCCTCTGTATGAAACCAGAATTAAGAGGTGATGTTTTGTGTTGAATGTATTAAAATCAGTTACAGTTCTTTACTTCATGCCTCCCCAGGACACAGGCAGGTACAAGCAGTGCGCAGGAAAACCATCAGCCGCAGAGTGCGACTGTACGGACGAACTGAGGCTCTCGCCTTTGGTTGCCAATTCAGACTGTCGGAAAAGGGTGAGGAGCTTGGAGGTGTTTAATTATCCCGTTACTCTCTTATTTTGCACATGGTAAGAATACTTCTGTACTGCAGTTGGCATTTTCTTCTGGTTCGGAATCATCAGAAACTTAAAAATGAATGTGTTCATTTTCCTAGATTTGTGCCGAGTAGCAAAATGTTCACATTTTATGGAATTGTAAAGAAGAAATAGCAATAGATAAATGGATTATATAAGTGTACTCCTTTGCCATCTTTTTTTAAAATTGTCTGGAATGCAGTTGGTGTCAGGGAATCGTGGTGCAAATTGTGCACTGGCGTTAGACATTTTGGAACTTGTCCTGTCCATGTAGGTGTCTTTGTTATCTTGTTTCGGTTCTTACTGCATAACAAGCTCCTGAGGTGACATTTTATGTTTCACATTACCTCCTGTTATTCAAGCCTATAGAAGGGATTGCTGTTTTCTTTGTTATTGGTAACTTACCCCGAGCTTGTTAAATCAGAACAAGGAAAAACAACATATTGTGTCTGTTAAACTTTATTGGTTTTCTTATCACACACAAACACACAAGCTTCAGTACCATTATACTGTTATGTTAAAAGCTGACTATAAAGTATTCATTTTTATCCACTCTTTAGTGTGTTCTGTATGATTTTTTTCTGAGTAACATAAACTGGAACGGTTTGACTCTCTAACTAAATTTAAAACATTGGCTGAGCGCTGTCCTTGTGTGTTTAGGTTTTAAGGTTCATGTATCCAGTCACTAATCTCAACATCACTTTGTATATAACAAGACCTGGACACAAAAACGTGCCTCTCACAGCCCCCGAGTTTGTCACTGTTACTGAGGTCAACAACAAAACTAACTGGAAGATCACAGGTATGTCTTACAGCCTTAGTTTAGCCTTTCGGGTAGGAAGAAGGAATCGGCACTCCTGACTAGCAGTTTCCTTTAAACTGAGTGCCTTGTCTGGAAATATCTGACAGTCTGTGTAAAGTGATCTCCAGTCTTCTGAAGAGTGTTTTTACAGTACTATGAAAACTAGTGGAATAAGCTTGACAGAAATGACCAGCAACCCAGCTGGTGAGGTAGGCAGATAATAACGTTTTGAGGGTTTGGGGAAAACTCAGTTCCGTCTCCTTTACACATAATTAAGAATCCACTGCATTACTGTATTTCACATATGTTAGATGCTGGATATGTTAAAAGTAGGTCTGTTTAATTATGTTGAATTTTCAAGACTTATTGTATGTTTGCTTATATGTCTTTAGGTACCAATGCAGTTCCAAGTATGCTTAAAATGAGGGACTACCTTGGAAGCCGTCTTAACAGTACTCTCTATAACCCTGAAGGGCTGCAGATCTCTTGCTTTGTAAGATTCTTTCAATGACTCAAAACATGTAATTCAGTGCAGGGTGCTTTAGAACATATTATTTTTCTCAGTTGTCTGACCTTTTGCTCTCAGCATTTAAGAGGGTAAATCTAACAAGAAACTGACAGGTTTGGAATTGTCAGATTCAATTTATCAGGGTTATTTTAAAAGCCTTTTACACAAGGATAATTTGTATTCTGTTTCTGAATATTTGTGTGGTGCACATCTGGCAGGAAAGAGTGCAGACATCAAAGTAATGGTATTTTTTATTAGTGTCATATTATAGGAAGGATGCTGGAATTTACATGGAGTGTGAAACAGGAAACAAATTTAGCAATTGGCATAATATCATCCTACACTTTTTTTCCACTTTTTCCTAAAGTCAGATGAGGTATGTCACAGCACCACATGTGGAGGCTTCATGACTTCTTATCGATATTAGATCTGTAAATAGTGGTCACTTTGGGATATCTATACTCTTTGTATACAATTGCCGGATATTCTTTGCATCAGCCACAAATCCAGATGAAAGAAAAACTTTACGTACTGAAGCTTTTAGGTAGCTAAGACATTTTTATGGGCCACTTAAAGGTGGAACTATGGAAGAAGCTACAGTACCTGTCCATGTTGTTGAGCCCGTTACCCTGGCTTCTTTCAAGAAATGGCTCAGTGAGACCCTTGGTGTAACTGTAAGTGCTAGGTGCGTTAAAGTTTAGCCTCCAAAACGTTTGGATCCCTTTTCATAATGTTTGGGTTTCTTAAAACCCACGCAAGAAGGCTCTCGCATTATCTTCACAGTCAAATACAAAAGATTGTGGGTCCTGAGTGATGGAGATGTTCTGACCGGAGCTGTTTCGCACGCAGGGCTCTGAACTGTTTCACTTCCAGATTGCTGTGGTCCCAGGAGTGCTCCTTTGTGATATGGTGGAAGAAGTTCAGGTTGGTTACTCTCAGAGTGTCTGCTTGGGGCCATCTTGACAAGAATTGTACAGAGAATAAGTTAGATTGATTGTAGTATTATTTTATTAAATGAACAAGGGACTTGATAAACCATGTTTAGACAGAGTAGTTGAACAACGGAGCAGGTAACCTCATTGTGGAGGGGGGATGCTGGGATTGTCCAAAGCTGAACGAGTTGCCGCAGTAGAATCGTGTTGTGTTGCAAGGAGAAGCCTGAATGGCGCTCTCTTCTGATCTCTTGTTTGTCATGTGTTGCCCTTGGAGGAGCAACATCTAGGACTTTCTATACTGGTTGGTTTTGTGTTTGCAGATCTACGTGGACAATCCGCCTCTCGCGTTTCCAGCGCAGTACCTGATCAATACCATAACGGCAGTGGTTCTGGGAGGGGTGCTGCTGGCCGGGTTCTTCCTCAGGCGGTCCAAAGTGCGGCTGCCGTCCAAGCAAAGCTTCGTGGCCCTGTTGAGGAAACGCAGCACTGCGGTGGCACCTGCAGCTGGGAGCGCGCACAGTTTTTAGAGCTCCTGGACATTGTTTTGCAAGTTTAAGGTGCTTTTTAAACATGTTCTATGGAAATTCCATTCTACCAGCTTTCAAAGGGTTCTGTATTACCAGGATCTCTTCTCTCCTTGTGCTTCTCTTTGTCTTTAATCTTTGTTCTCGGACTTTATCAAAAAAAAATAACTGTCTATGAAACGTGTGATTTTTAGGAAAACTATTAGTAAAATAAACTGTTCTTCTCCCCCAGAATAACATTGACTAAAAAATGTTTACCAATAAGACCAACACAACTTTTTTTTATTTATTTTCTGCTCTTTTGGATTTCTGAAATAATTTTAAAAAATTGTTTCCAATTGGTTTTGGTTGAGATACATGAGTTGGCCCAAATTGAAGATTTATCCTCCTTCACCATTGAGGTGCCCCTGGAATACCTATTTTGACATATAAATTTAGGTGAATATCTCTTTCTCATGACCCACCTGGACTGTTGCTGAGAACTGTATGTAACTGTATGTCAGCAAAAATGACCAGCACAACTCCTGTTAGACAGTACAGTTGAGAGAATACATATAAAGTGCAAATGACCTAGAGTATTTGGAGTGGTCTCTTCATGGCAAGTTCATTGATAACGAAATGGCTATTGATCATTGCAGTATACTTGGTTGTCAAAACTTTAAGAAAACTGTGCAGTTACTTTCACAGAAATATCTCTCACCACTTTCAACCATTAGTTTCTAGATGATGGATGTTTTTTTGTGTATTGTTGAATGCATTTGCATATGTTTGCACTGGGAGAGAGCCAGTACCAAGCAAACACTATTGCACCTGCCAGCTTTAGGAGCCACCTTTGGAACTTTCTGCTGTGTCAGTGAAAGATTTCTAGAGCTCAGTGATTTGAGGAATTCTCTAAAGGGTACATAATACAGCCTCTTTTTCTAAATTACATTTTCAAATGTGTTTCTAAGCCTTTGTGAGGATCTTGTTCTGAAATTTTAGAACATGTTTTTTCGGGATTGCGTTTTTGCATTATATAAACTTAGCATCAGGTGAGCAATGCAAAAATAACTTCTTGGGAAGTTGTTTTTACCTAATACAAGGCTGTAGTGGAATGATGACAGAAACTTTGGCCACATAAAAAAGCTGACTAATCAGGAAAAACTTATTACATACTTGCCAGTCTAGTGATGTTGAGCTCATCAGCTCTGGGAAACTGGGCAGAATAATGCTTATTATAGCTGAATTAACATATACAGACACTACGCTTTGGCAGAAAGGGTTTAAAGTGTAACAGCAGACATGCAATCATAATTACACCCCACTGCTGGAAAGATTCCCCAATTAGATTAATCTGAAAAAGAAGAAGTTAGGAAGGCCTTTCTTTAAATCTGGTGGGGAGAAGTTTTGTTGTTCTGTTACAGCATCCATAGAAAGCAAAAAACGTGTATCATCTTAAGGCACAACCCTTTCGGCTAGAGTTCTTCACTCCAGAAACAGCCGCCTGAACAGATGCTATCCATGCTGTGACACAATATTAGTTACGAATGTACTTTCTCTTTGATGCTCAGATATACCTCATATTTATTTGAAAGTGCTCACAAGCTTCCATTGTGCCAAAGAGTAAAACCAAAACATCTGTTTGCAAGCTGTTTTGCATAAAGTAGCCTTAAACTGAATTGCTCATCACATACAAGTCTGGATGCTTGCTAATCTTTTGTGCTTTGCTTGCATCTTGTACTGCTATAAATGGACTATATTTAACTTATGAGAAGAATGAAATACAGTGCTAGAGATAGCTACTAGCCCTTGGAGAGTGACCAGATGTCATACTACAGTACAGTGTGTAGAATCCAGGCAGTACTACCAGACATGGAATATTAATGTTACTATTGTAAGACTCTTGTGACATAATTGGCTGTTTTAAGAATTTGGAAGTTCCGATGTTCTTCAATTTAGCTGTATATATGAAGGAAGCTGATGTTCCATAAATCACATTACTTTTGTAATTTTGTTTGTGAAAAAGTTAGAAATACTTGATTCATCATTCCTTGTCTATGCAGCTTAAAACAGCTAACAGGAGAATAAAGAGTTATTAGGTAATATTTAGTAAAAGATACCATTTGTGCTACAACCATAAGGCAATGCTATTGTTGTTAAGCATAAAAGTTTGGGATGTTGACAAAGAATAAGAGGAAATAATTGGAATTCATAATCAGTACTGTCAGCTTACTAACTAAACAAGTCCACCTTTGTCATCTGGTTGGTTTTATAACCTTATGAAACCAATAACTCATCATTTCACTCTCAGATATCTGCTAATTCTGGGTTAAAGTTGTGACAGCGCATCGCCCATTCCTTGAATACAAGAAGCAAGTTTGACCCCAAACCCGAGAGCATTTCAGACACCAGTGCGACCTGCTCTGTCACCATGTGCCTCATCAAACTGGGGCTTAGAGTTCAGATGAATCGGCGTGAGAAATGTGGCTTTACAGGGAAACAAAGAACAATATAATTGACGAAACAGTTCTTGACATTTGTGATTGCGTGGCAGCAAAAAAAAGAACAGTCTTTTAGTCAGACAGAGCAATGCACTCTAGTATCACAAGGAGTCTGAAGAAGGCGGGGAGGGTATGAATAAGTGCCTTTGCTGAGTAGGATTGCCAGTTGTGTTTTATTTCAGGGGTGACTAACTGAAGTACTACACTAGGGAGGTTCTCATTGTGAGGAGGCTGCACCCCTCTCTGGGAGCACTGGCACTTGGCCTCCGTCCTTAAAAACTGAACTGAAGACACACCTCTCCTCTCCAGCCTGCACTATAGCTTTCAGATTTCTTGCGGCCAATGAAGTATGTTTTCACTGAAAGTGCCCCATGAATGTGAGTGTCCCCTAGATTGTAACAGCTTAGAAGAATGAATCATTATTTTTATAAATGCATAACCTTTTTATATACAGCGGGAATTGAAAGTAACATGCTGAAAAGAGAGGACGGGAAACAACGTTTCGGATGTGGATCCTTCTTCTTTATGTTGGTTGTCACTGCTCTGTATTATTGCACTGTTTGTAATTTTCCTTTGTAATTCTCGCGCTTTCAAAAGGTACTTCACTAAATAAGGATTGTGACTGCTCCTGTGCTAAAAACACTTTGTTTTCTTGTTAACTTCCATAGTAGAAACTGGAAGGCACAAAATAATAGTATTATTATTATTGATAATGATGATAATATCGTTGATCATGATGGTAGTTTTGTTTTCCATCGCATGGCCAGTCATGTGGCCGTTTCGGTGATCCCTGTGTCTCCATAGTGCAGACAACAAAGGCTCTTTTTTGACTTCATTAAAGATGCAAAAAGAGATTGGGCCCTCTAAATTCTCAGTTTAGATTGAATCTTTATGCAACAACACAAGTACTGCATGCCTGCTGACATTGTTTATGTTAGCTGTTTGTTTCACATAGAAACCGTTCCAGCTCTTTCTTTCAGCTGCAGTGGACTTTTGTTTGTTGTGACTGTGCTGTCCTCATTCACTATACAATTAATGGTTTACTTAGTTCCACACTGCAAAGTAAATTCTGTTTACATATCACAGTTTGCTGCCATGGAGACCAAAAAAAATATCTCTGCTGGTTTCAAAAACAGAATACTGCTTGGGTGTTTTACTGTACTGGGCTGATGTAATAATTTCTTAGTTTAACTGTCTAGGTTGTGGTTTGTGGGCTCCATTTATTTTAATTTAAAAACCTTAGTACTTTTTCTTCACCTTGAAATTGTCAGATACAAAATAGACTTTGTGATAAATACCACTGTTGTTTATGATCTTTCAACAAATGGAATTTTCCATTTTTTTGTGATGTTTTAATTGTCTTAATCAACATTAGCATGCTGGGAAATCATGACCATTTTTGTTAAGGCTTTCAGATGGCAGAACGCAATACAGCTTTAAACTCAATTACAACCTACCGACTGGTATCAAAGCAGTGTAAGGGTCTGAACGTCTTCTCCCTCCCCCAAAAAATCCACCTTGGAATGATTAGAGCACTGCTTATTGGGCAGCTGTGTGGATGACTCAACGCAAACTTATTTAGCTTTTCACCCTTTAAAACAAAAGCATCCAGTCCATCTAACTGCTTTTTCCAGTACAGGCCCTAAGGACAGCTGGAGCCTGAACCGGCAAGCAGCGCGTGCTAGGCAAGAGCCACAATGAATGGGATGCCAGTCCATCACAGGGCACACATTCATGCCAGGGCCAGTCTTCTCAGAAGCCAGTTACCCAATCGGTATGTTCTTGGACTGTAGGGGGACGCCCACACAAACACAGGGGAAACATTCAAACTCCATGGAGGTAGCACCCCAAAAATTGAAGCCAGGGGCCCAGCGCTGTGAGACAGCTATACTGACCACTGTGCCACCGTGATGCTCAAAACAAAAGCAGCTGAGTGTATGCTTTATGTAAAGCATTATCTGCTATTTAAAAAAAACACAACTATTTTTAGTGTATCAAAATAAAAGCTGAAGACACAAACTTGCCATAAAAACAACAGTAAGTCAGACAGCTTCACAACATGTTAATGTTT